AGAAGTTGATGGGAATACAGGTCATGTGGCAATGCACTACTTATGCTAGCAACCTGAAGATGTGCCCTGACACCACAATGGTGGTGGTGGTGGCCATGATGGTGATGATGGCCATGGTAGTGATAGCAGCCATGATGATGAAGGTGGTGATGGGTAAAGGAGAAGAAGCCTTTACTCCCCCATTGATAATACAGCACATATTTACTCAACAGACTGGGAACTAGGCAACCTACATGATTGAGCTACATGCTCCGGGTATATACTACCTGTGATTACCAACCTTACATCAGTGTTGCCACAAATAAGGACAGCATGAGAATCAACAAGATGCAAAGGGGTGCAGGAGTGCATTTACCTGACTACAGAGGTGTCAAGGCCAACCAAGAAGTGGGTGCAGGAAGTGGGTGCAGTGGAGGGTGCAGAGCAGGCAGAGGATGCAGATGCAGTGCTTGGATGCAGATGCAATGCATGGATGTGACCACACAGCAGGGAGCAATGAGTGTGGTCCAGGTGGAGATGAGATGAGAATAGGTGAGGCTAGGCTGTGTCATAGGCCTAGGAGGACTGGAGGGGTTGTGAGGTCTTTGGGTAGCTCAGCACACAAAGCCGTAAGTGATACAAGTATGTGTATTTTACGGTGGTGTGTAAGCAGTTACCCGGAGGTTCCCACTTACCCACGTGACTATATGTATCTAATTTACATATGACTCGGGGTTCGGGGCTATTGCCCTGACAGGGGTGCAGAGTGTCAGAGACTGGATGCAAGATGAAGGAAACGTCTCCATGGCAGAGGGCTTCAGCCTCAGTAACTTAGACCAGGACCGCTGTGCCTAGTTTGTCAGGGCCCGGCCTCTGTCCAGGGGCGGCCCTACCTCAGAACTGGACACTTGCGGTGTCCCAGGCAGCCAAGTGCTGGATCCTACCCCAAGCTCCTCAAACTCACTAAGCGGGGATTGAGTTGTCATGTATTATGGAAGGTAACTACAACTTGCCTAAGCAGGGATTGAGTTGAGAAGAAGGGTAAGTTTCCCTATTCCCTGCTTGGCTACTATAAAAGGGAAATGTACTATACAGTTTGTAACATGACTAAGGGTAGGAGCCGAGCATGTTCCCACAATGTGGAAAAGGTGTCATGTGGGTTAAGGCGAGTTGCTCGCCTTGACCCACGTGATTTTTCCTGCGGGTTCACATGCAGGCTGTAGTTGCGAAAGGTGTGTGAAGATGGGAGGATGAGGGAAGTGGGGGGAGGTCAGGGAAGGTGGTTCTGGGGTTGTATGGTCAGGTGTGGTTGCCCTGACATAGTTACACATCCGTGCCCTAATTTACTCACTGGCAACGAGAACTTAGCAGGGGGAACCTCTAGTTGATTTTATCACTAGGGTGTAACCTATCTACAAGTTATGTATATATAGTTACAAAGAGGGTGGGCCCATGAATGGCAGGGCTGAGCAGAGTGGAGCTAACAGAGTTACATGTTAGCTGACTGAATATTACCAACGAGTCAGGTTATGGGGTGTAAGGGATGGACAGGGATGGGATGATGTGCACTTTGCACGCATTTCCTCTATTCTTTATTCATTAATATTCCTCGTAATAAACAATGTATAACACCTGTATGTACATAAATAGTGTCCAGGGTCAGGAAAAGGAGCCTAGCTCTTCTCCTCCCCCCCTGTCAAATACTAGCTTCATACAGTCTAAGTTATCAACAGCCTGAGGATTGAGGAGTCACCAAGGCTGGCACCCCAACCGGCCTTACATGGGGTTAGTGGGGTGGTGGGCTATAACCCAGAAACGGAAAGGGGGGATTGGCCTCAAGGTAGGCTTGCAGGGCAAGCAAGTGAATTGCCCAGCAGAGGTGGGAGTGTGCCAGCGGACATCGGAGCTGTCCAGAGGCCTTTGGGACTCTGTACTTAGGGAGGCATATGTAATATATTGGATTGAGGGGGTGGTGACCATCAAGGGAGTTGGAGGTGATTATGGAATACGGAGGCTCCAAGGTTAGTGATGAAAGAGCAGAGGTAATCCAGAAGGACCGGAGGTTGTGGAGGATGATGGCCATGGATGGATATGACACAGAGGCTGGAGTGACCAAATGCCAGGAACACCGAGGGCTCAGGAATTGATGGGGGTGCAGGTGGTAGGAGCAGGACATCAGATTGAGGACTGGGTGGATTAGGTTTCAGGTCAGTGGATTTGCCCATCAGCAATGGCACTGCTGGTGGAAACCCTGGGATTTGTTGGTCGTGACAATTACCTACAAGCTGGGTCAGCAAGTTTATGAGAGAATCACCATATTAGGGTTTGTAAGGGTAACATTAGCAACAGGAACTAATGGGGTGGAATGCCCTTTGCAGGACAGTGGAGGCCTCAGAGGTCTGTAGTGATTGAGGGGGGGTAGAAATATTATTATTCAGCTAGGATGGCAGAGGGGGTACCAGAGATGATACCAGAGATAGGAGGTGGAGGTGGACTGGAGGATGACTGGAGGGTATGGTGGAGGTGAGGAGGAATTGGACCAGAGGGTCACTGGAATGATGGTGGAGTAGGTTGGAGGTCCGGCGGAGTTGACATGGATATGACAGTAGTGGAAAGGGAAGTGGGGCTCCAGAATTGGTTTTGGAGTTCCAGAGGCCTGGATTGGGGGTCAGGATTGTATGAATATGACAATCTGCTTAGGTCACTCATACTACTCAATGGTAATGTTGTTGGCGAGGGTTGATTGTTTGTCTCACAATTCATCTTAGGGGTGGTCTCAAGATGTGTCTCCAGGACATCTTAATCATTTGGGGGGGACAATGGTACAAAATATTATAACTGGGGGGAATTTACCAGGAGTTCAGTTTGTTGCCAAGGGGAAAGACTAGTAAATAGAGAGCTCCACAAATCAAACAACAATTGAAAATCCCAAAGTAGGGTGGGAGGATTGTGGAGCAAGAGAACAGGGAACTGACTGAATAGTTCAAGAGTGGGCCCATCTGAAAGGTGCAGGGCAATATAAGAGGATGATTGTCACAGCCATGCATTCCGGCCCATTAGCCACCTGTCCCAATGCCACCCAAGCCCATTCCCACTATGCAAGCATGAGCACGAGCCCCAACCTCAGCCCTATCCTCCATGAGGACTCCCTGCTCACTCCCCCACTTGCCCCTAGGCTCCCCTGCACCTGGCCGACTCCCCCACAGCCACACCAATCTTCCCACCCGAGTCTGCCTCTGGCCGGCACTGTGCCCAGCACGACTCCTCTACCCCACCCATTTGGCCCCTACAGGGCCACTACCATTCCCGCACCCGACTCCGGCCCAACTCCAAGTCCAGCACCGCTACAATACCATCGCTGCTATTGCAGCCCTACGCTCCTTCCTTTACTTATCTGTTATTGTTTGTTTTGACCCTTGGTCATTGCCAGCCACTGTGTGGCCAACCCCACTCCTTGCTCCCTTTTGCTTCCAGACCCTTTGGCCTTCGGCCCAGGTCCGCTTCCATTCATTCTTTCCCCATATATATATCCTGTATGTTACTTTATTGTACCTTAGCTCTAATATTGATTTGACCATGACCCCTCAAGTCCTGACCCCGACAAGGCAACCCCAGTAAGTCTGAAATGAGGGCCAAGAGACAGCTAGGGGGCACAGTGCTCCTTTAGAGTCACTGAGGCCAAATGCCCTACCCTCGGGCCTTGTTTGCGGCATCACGGCCATCACGGCCTGTAGCAGCCCACAATGGTGACCTTCGGTGCCGACCCCAGACCAGTGTCTAACAATGATGTCTGAAGCTCCACCACCATTCTGGTGGGACTCCACCCTCTTCTGCTTCACTTCCACCATGCCCTCTGGTCTACCTCCAGTCCTCCCTCCAAATAATAATATTTCCATGCCACCTCAATAATTGCAGACCTCCTATGGACCTCCACTCAACTGCAAAGGGTTCTCCACCAATCCTGTCCCTCCATCTTCATGCTACCCTTCACCCCCTAGTTATAGCCACTCCACAAATCCATAATAGGTGATTCTCTTACACCCTTACTGACCCAACATATGGGTAGCATTCACTTCCAGTTTCCCTTTGTTTCCCCTTTGGTTCATTATAATGTTGTACTGTGGTTCATGGCACCTCAGTGCAAAATCAATGACCAGTAGTTCCCCCCAGAGTTGCATGGCTCATCTGTAAGTTAAGAGCCACACACCAGCCTAACTAAGCATCAGCACAGCACTCCACTCTGAGTTGCTGAGGCCAAGGCTCCTCTGCTCATACTCTCCCTCTGTAAGGTGGGTGTCCTAGAACCCAGCTGTGAGTATCAAATATGTATGATTCACAGTGGGTAGGACAATAGTGACCTCACTGGGTCACATGACCCCTACATACATGGACCATGACCTGACACCCTCCATCCTCATTCCAGGGTCACATCTGTACACCATCCATGTACTTAACATCCACTTCCAATCTTCCACAGCTTCCTGCATATGCAACCATGCAGTGTTATTGGTCAGCACTCACATGTCATGCTGTATCAATGTTCCTTGCCACTTTCCTGATGGTTACCAGATTGCTGACTCTACTTTCCCATGTACATATGTGTATAGATCCATGTGCTGGAGTGCTAGTCCCCCAGCTTTAATATCAACCAGATGTTTGGGGCTACACTGCATGCACTTATGGGTAGAATGACTGGTTGTTGGTCATGCTAGTACCCTACAGTGTGACCCAGGATAGTGCATCACTTCACTGTTGGGCCACATAGTCACAGCATGAAGAATCTGCTCAATGTAGCAGTTCTGGTAACCACAACAACTTGGGGAGTAAGGGGCTACAGGAAGTGATGGGTAGGGGATTACACTGTCCCCAAAACCAACACATGCAGCACTGGGAACAGCTGTGAAATACATTGGCAACACACCTGGTTGCCAAGGAACCACCTTCATTTCCTCACTTGATCAGAATTTGGGAACCTGTGGAGGAAGTGATGCAGAGATACATAAGTTGGAAGAACAACCTTCATGCCCAACACCATTCCTCTAGGACACCAAACCCTCCACATCCCAGTTGTGCATACATTACACAAGCAAAGGCAGATGCTGTCACCTCAGCAGACCATCCACTGCTACTTCTGGGGTTGGGTGATCATCATCAGTCTCCTGCTGCTCACTCATTCAGCCCTGATTGTCTTGTGGGCTAGTGGAACTTTGAAGCACTTCAGGTTCCCTGTGGATCAAGTAAACTCAGTGCAGAAAATCATTGCCATTTCCACCCAGGTTTGGAATTTTATTGTTTCAGCTGCATTAACACTTGTCATACAAGGAATAATGTTTGATATAATCATTCGTCGTGGTAAGTCCATTTGCAGAAAACTTTAGATCATCAGTAGCACTGTCTATTCTAGAGCAAACACTTGCATCACTACACAACTCTCTTGGAGCTTGGCAAAGCTTCTTTGGATCTATTTCTGCATTGTGGCATGCTCGACATCTGGATAATGTGCTCTGCATCCGGCTTTTACTTGCAGCATTATTCTATGCTTCAGCTTCATTCCTCCAAGTCACAACAAACTCTGCAATATCTGTTGCAGTCACAGCTGCTGGAGATCCTATAACTTTGAATGTATCACAAGCAATTGGAAATCTCAGCCATGTAATTATGGCCACAGATATGGCTGCTGTGTCAGTGACAGTGGAGTTACTATGGAGAGAGAAAGATGACCAAATTGGTTTCCCCCGTGGCATCAATGGATCGTGAGTGTCATTATTTTCCAGCCTGACCATCCCAGAACATTTCATTTCCAGAGTCTTCTTCTCCATCCTGGAGGATACCACTTCTGATGTTGTGTACCAAGATCAGTTTGCCCAACAATTGAATGTTAAATGTGCATCTCTCCCAAATGCACACATGTCTATTTCCCTGGACTTCTCAAGTTTCAGTGCCACCTACATGCAAGATTCAAAAAAGATCCTATCATCAGGAAATAGGGAGCTCTTTGATGGCCATGATTTCCAGTTTGGTGGGGAGCGCAATGAAACAGAACCACCTATCCTAAGATGTGAGTCTTGCATCAGTGTATCAGTGGTAGGATGCATGTGACCAATCATTGGCCTTCAAATAGTTGATGACCAATTGCTGTTTGCAGATGACACTTTCGTTGACTATCCCAGCCCAATTGCTCTTTATGGTGTTACCACTTTCCTCTATTTGAGCATCAATCCACATGCTCTCACCATAATTGTTGATGATCATGGCAATGCCACACAACGAATCCTTCCACCCATTAGAAAGAGGCTCAATACATTGGTGTGGAGTTGGTTATACAATTCATCCATGAGTATGTCCTTCACAGAAATTTGGGCCCACTCTCAGCTCCATCCAAAGGTGAATCAGAACGAAAGAGCAGGGCCTTCCTTGAGCCAATTGATGTTACATTCTATGGGTGGCCCTTTTCTTGTACCCTCTACAGGGACCATACCGAAGCCAATGTCACAGGAAATAATACCCTATTGTGGTATCGTGATGTTACTCATCGAATCTCTGCTAGTTCACTCCCTTATGCCCGGCCAATACCAACTGATCCTTTGGAAGCTGGATGGGTCTCTCTCATAGCAAGCCTCTATCAAACTACACAGTCAAGGAATAATCCATCAGCTAGTGACTGGTTCACTGACACATTACTCAAAAGCATCAATACTGCAAATCCCAACAAGGATTTCAGCCAATTTGAGGAAACCCTTAGCCAGCTGGCAGCACTAATGTACTTGGTTTCTGCACAATACAATCACCTTGACCTTTATTATACAGATACAGAGGGTAAAATACAGTCACCATGGAGCCCAACATATGCCAAAATCAGTGGTACTCAAAGATCCATTTTTGCCCATCTAGAGTTCAATGCCATCCAAATCCTTCTTGGAATGATTGCAGTGATTGCTATAGCCTCCTCATCAGCACTTTCTATGGGTTGCACTTTTCCCACTGCAGGTCAGGCCATTCATAATGGAGGACTCATTGATTTATCATCACTTTTACATCAATCTTCTCTTCCTGAATGGATTTCTCAACATTCAAGTACATCTGATGGTGTGAGAAAGAAAGCAGAAAAGACAAGAGTCAGGTGCATGCATCTGGATTTAGCACTGAGAATCCTGTTCATTTGTTGTATCCCCAGGCTCAAAGGACTAACCCTGGATGTGTCTAAGCCCTCCAGCTACCTTGGAGGTGAGCAAGGGCCCACTGATGGCCTTTCACAACAAGAGGTCTGGGACTTGGCTGGTGCTAAAGATTCAGCCACTTATTTACAAGAATTCTAGATCTGCCACCAAGGCCTGGTTTTGACTGCATCTGGGGACTGGGATGAGCCTTGTAAGCTCTTTGGTTGACCACATTGTTGTGTTCTTATTCACATGACCCAACAGTTGGCACAAGCATAACAATGAAAACTCCAGATCAGATGTCCAGTTCTGCCACCCTACTCCGTGTTGCTGCATGCACAGCATTACTCTTCCTCATCAGCTATCATGTCTTCACATTTACAATCTGGGCTTCAGGGACCCTCCAAAGTACCAACTATTCAATTGATCAGTTGGCACTGATATCCCAACTTCAGGCTGGAACCACACGAGCAGTGGCCATGGTTGTCCTTGGTACACTGACAGTTGCAAGTGCATCACTTGCAAGTGATCATTTACTCCACCAATGTGATGTCCATTCTCCAACATTTTGATTCTTCTGACAATCTATTCTGTAGCCAATACCTTTGTTGGGCTGAATGATGGATTGTGGGCCTGGAGGGGCCTAGGGGCCTCTGTGATGAGCCTCTGGCACAGTAAAAGTTCTGGAAGTAATCAAATACTCCAAGTTATGCTGGTCATGGTCTTGTATGCATCTGTGGCTACTCTCCATCTTGTTAGCACATCAACTCTCACTTTTGATGCAGTCTTTGAGGCTGAACCAGTGTCTCCAATAAACATGATTCGTATCCCAGGAGATCTCATTAATATTGGTTTTGTGGACAACCGGGAGGGGTTTCCTTATGTGCCATGGCAGCCTGACTATAGAATAGAGCTGGCTGTAACCTCCTCAAGCTTACCATACTTCTGGACCTATCTGGGTAGTGGTTCAATTAAAATGCCAGGTAGTCTAAATGGAAGGTATAGTGGAGTACTTTTTCTGTGTGTCCATTCTCCAAAGCCAATACTCTTCCTCTAGCATTATACACAGCATTCCTGTGGCAAAAGTTGATCCAGCCATAGTGCTAACTGACCTTCATGCTACTCAACTGGTGGTGCAGTGTGGTGTGACAGCTCAGCAGCCTAGTGACAAATGGAAGGTCACTTACACCCCTCTCTGTTTGTCTCCAACCATACCTTGGTGGTGAAAAAAAAGCACTGATATCCAAACATTGGTCTAGCGGAACCTTATGAAGGGGAGTTGAGCATTGAAACTACTTTGTCATATTTCCCATATGAGAGTTCCACAGTCAATATGACCTATAGCAGAGGGATCCCAGCTCAGGATATTGGATTGAGAGTTTTTGATTGGAAACCATCAAGCAGGGCACCTGCTTATGCTCACTGTAAGCAAACATGGATTCATATACCGCTAAATGCTAACTACTGACCTGCTCCAAGTCAATGACTTTGTCATGATGGGTCAACATGGTGCTTCTGGACTCAATTCTGGAACAATCGCTTTCATGTATGTTTCAGCACACAATCAATTACTGGGGAAGAATTCATCCAGACTTGTGTTCCCTTCCCACACCCACATGGAGAATTATTCAGCATTTAACTGGCCATCCAATGATACCATGAGTAAGGTTTCTTTTCTCCATCACTTATCACAACATCTACTACCCCCTAGTACAGGTACACACAGATTCAAAGGGAATGTCACATTGACACTCTATCTTTACCATTTTTCCAGTTCTCTTTACACCCTCCCTGTTGTAGCAAAGGTTGGAGGAAATGGGCAGCTTTTATCCACAAATGAACCAAAGCATCCCCCAACTCCTATGACCCCATTTCTTCGCACTCCCCCAATGAGTGCAATGGAAAGGAGTTTTATGAACCTTACAGACTCAATTATTGACTTACAAGGCCCTGACAATCGTGTATTCATTCCCCTGGCAACCCAAATCCTCACCACATTGGTTTCTGGATCAGGAATTGAAGCAGTCGAGGATTTTCTTGGATGCTCAACAGCCTTAGCATATTCATTACTGGCACAAACCTTTCACACATCAGCCTTGCTTGCTGGGAACACATCTGTACTTCCATATTGGGAACCAATATACAACCTGGCTGATGGTGTCCAGCAAGTGCTAAGTGCAAAGCTTCATGTAAATGGGCTTCATCTGCTCATATCAAGCATCTGTGTAACCTTGGTCATAATTTGTGTCACCTCCTCTGCCTTATTTGTCCATCGCCATCATGGGCCAATGCATGATGGGGGGGTAATTGATATAATCACCTTGATGCAAGGATCCCAAATCCCACAGTCAATTGCTAGTCAGGCATGGGTTGATTCCCATGGGACAGACTTGCGGCGATGCAGAGCAGCAAATTTACCAGTCTTGTAAGTTTTGAGCCCCATATCAGCTGACATAAGCACTCATTTGTTGTGTAGACTACATGATGGATGCCTGGATGTGGGCAATCTTATTTCCAGCAATCTCTCATCCTCTGAAACCCCTCCCATTGTGCACCATGTAGAATAATCAACAAACCCAGTTGGACCACCCTGTTCAGAGTATGGTGTTAGAAGCTGCCAAAAAATACAATGTTCAGATATTTACCTGTTTTTTTTAGCCATGGCAAAATTTTTGACCCAAAATCCAAATGTTTTTTTTTTTTTTAAATAAATCTGCATAATCAGTAGCCACTATGTAACAAGAGAATTAAAGGAGATTTAAATACAGGAGTTCAGCTAGCATACATTGATTGATCTGGTGGAAGAGTATCTAATTCAGCCATAGCATCCTCACATATAGCACGATGACTCTTTTGTTTCTTCACAGCCCAGGCTGCCAGCTCCCCAGTAAGGCCCTTCCAGTAGGCATCCATGAAGTGCCAAGCTCAGTTGATGAATTTTCGAATTGTTTCATCTGGACATGCATCCAAACACTGTATCGCTGCTGTTTTTGCATTGGCAAAAGTAGTTTCCATATTTCACAATATCGGTATTTTGCATAACCCCAATACTATAGATGTTATAGTTAGAAATTGGAACTAGTTCAGACAAGAAAGGTTTTAACACACCATCTCAATCGGGTTCAACTCACAGTGGAATTTCAGCAGGAATATGCACAGGTGTCCTGCCTGCATAATTAATTCTTCAAGCATTGAGACCTGATTTACAAAATCAGCCTGATGACTGAGAATGCAGGCAAGGCAGCAGTCTGTATTTTCAAATGGGCAGACAGGCTTGCACTTAGCTCACTTCCCATCTGTATTGAAGCCACGCTCCATCAAGACAGCCTCAAGGCCCTTGGGTTTGCCTGCTTCAGTCACCATTGACTGAGGCATCCCCTGCTTTGAGCAATCAGGGACAGTGTCATCATTTGGGATAACAGTGTCATGCCGCTTTTGTTGTTTTCCACCATTAGACTTGTTCATATCAAATGCATTGAGAGCATTGGGACTGAGTGATGCATGTGCCAAAGACTGATCGAATATGAAGAGAGCCTGGCAGTTTGGATGAGCACGTTCAAAAATTGGGACTGCCTTTGTGCAGATCTGCTCTAGAAGTTGCTGAGTATCCCACCAAGGGTCACCATTGGCACCGGGATAAATGATTTTGCAAGCATCATTCCCCTCTGAAACTATTCCATCATTGTCCCAGATGATGAGTTGGCCACTTTCTTCATTTATAAAGTTGGAAACATGGATTAGATGGCCTTGACTCTTTTTCTGGAGCACAGACTGCCCCTCAGAAAGCCTTTTATTATAATTAGTTTGCACCACATTCTTCATTGAAATTGATGTGATGCTCACCAGACACTTCTCTTGAACTCATTTGTGTGGAAACAGCTCTCATCGTGCCAGATTGGAATGATCTGCTTTTCATTCTCACCCAGCGCTGGCTCATTTCGCTCCAGAGAGGTGCCATTGAAGACATGCTGGACCATTCTGGCCTCATTTTGGGTAAAAAAACCTCGTTCCAGTACTTCACAACATCCTCACACTCATGCCCATCCATGTAAACCCCTTTTTTCAACACACTCCTGCGATAGCCTAGTTTAACAAGCCAGCAGCATGCTGTCTGGCATTCCAATGGTTTCTTCAAGGCAATACCAAGTTTGGGTAGGGTGGCTGTGTTGAGGGTGTGATGGAACAATTCTGGGGTCAAATTTCTTGCTGACTGCAATGCTAGCCATCCCCGGACCGCTTTTTCAACATCAGGATCATCAAGGTGACAAGTCCCCTTTCACTTTCCTCCCTGGCATTCAATGGGAAGTGACTCATGCTTTTCATAATAGCATGCCAATGCTTGGACATGTGCCACAAAATATCTTCCATTTCCATCGTGTTGGTTGACTGCAATGTGAATACTTGCTGGGATCCGCTTATAACCTTTCATACAAAGAGTAAACCAGCTCCATAGGAGGTTATATTGAGTAATCTAGAGTATGGTTATCAACAATGTCACTGGTGTGCCCATGCAGTCATGATTTCAAAACTCACCTGAGTTAGCAGCATGCTGACTATGTTCTTCTTTTTCTGGTCCAGCAGAATGTGGTCAATCTTCTTCCAAAGCTCTTCCCATGTTTTTTGGCTTGTTCAATGGAGTAATGGGTGTCACGTCACTCATGAGCTCCTCCATTTCCTCATCTCCAATGTCTTCACCCTCAATCTCATTTCCCTCTTCACTGTCAAAAACCCTGAACAAGGGTAATGTGTGTGAGTCTGAATGCAGGTGGGGCTCAACTAGAGGGGTTCCGAGAGCCCCGGTAGTGAACCAAAGCTTCTCCAGGAAGCCCAGGTCTGCTGGGTGGTACAAGAGGCTCTAAGAAGGATGCAGCCTCAGCAACTTGGAGGGAGCACTGTGCCTCCATTACGTCTCAGTTAGTCCTTTTATTTCATGTGTCTGAGGTATCTTGTAGGAGGAGGTTGGGATTCACTCATAGAGGGACTGTCAGAGACTGGGATATTGTCAGAGTTGGGCAGACTGTCAGAGTCGGAACACTGTCAGGAGGCGGATGGAAGGCGGATTGGGCTCCGCCTGAGTTGAGGTCAGAGGTGATGCAGAGGTCTGTTTGAGCGCATGCACGGATATGCGGGCGGAAATATGCGGTGCATCTGGAAGCGCTGTTCAAGGTTAGCAGAGTGGGATCGCGGCCTCAGCGACTCAAGTGGAGTGCTGTGCCCTGAGCTTGACATTTGGGGGAGATCCTGTATTTATGGATTGACACTCACAGTGGACTTCAAACAAGACTTGCGGGTGGAGTGGACCTGTAGGAGGAGTGCAGACTCCATGAGCACGGACTCAGAGGGGGGAAGCCCCCTTTGCAGAAGGAGAGACTCAGACCAGACAGGGGGGGTACTCTGGTTGATTTCAGACTGAGGTCCCCGAAAGTATTTACAAGGTATAAGTAGGTAAGAGAAATCAAAAGAGGGACCAGTCGGTCCGGTGCAGAAATAAGCGGAAATGAGCAGGGACTTGTCAAACTAAACCAAGGACAAGAACCTGGGAAATGGGAGGCAAGGAATGAATAAGGTCAAAGTGGATCAAGTACCAATATTGACAGATTAAATGAATGAATAGGAAAGTGCAATAGCACATGGATCAAATGCCAATATTGGGGTGAACATAACACTCAGCAAGGAATGAATATTATGTTGCCAAGTGACAAAAATGGCCAGAGGACAAAAGCGGAGGTCAGCGCACGGTGCCGATTCAAGTCCGCAAATAAGCAGGGTCGGTGCGGTGCCGACACAAATCTGCAAACAGAGGTTGATCTGCCAGCACTGTCACACAAGGACAGCATGAAGGCCAACAGAGGTACAGAGGGGAGTGGGAGTGTTGACCTGACCAGAGGTGTCAAGGGCAACCAGAAGTGGCCAGAGGGTGCAGAGATGGGCAGAGGGTGCTGAGTGGGCAGAGGGTGCGGAATGCATGGAAGCGGGGCATGGCTGTGACCACATAGCAGGAAGCGATGAGTGTGGTTCAGATGGAGACAAGGCAGGCATGACTGAATGCTGGGAGCACCAAGGGCTCAGGAACTGGAGGTAAGGTCAGAATACCGGCAGGGTCTAGGTTCTGATTATTGGCCAAGTCTCACGCAGTAAGGCAGGGGGCCAGACATGGGGTTGGGGGCTGGTTAGGATGGGTTTCAGGTTAGCAGGTTCACCTATCGGCATTGGTTTGCAGATGACAGAGCCCCAGGATTTTTTGGTTGTGACAGGGACTTGGGGTAACTTTAAGTTGAGATTAGAACTGAGGTACAAAGGGTTCTAATCTACAGGTATATATAGAGGGAGGAAGAGGAGGACTTTAGTCAAAGTCCGAGTGATACTGACAAACACTGAATGATACCAAAAGGTCCCAAAAGGTCCCAAACGATATCCTTAATGGGGAACCAGGGTGTCGGGTCGAGGAGGGCGGAGTAGAAGGCTGGGGGATGAATGGGAATGAGAAATGGGTAAGGGGAAGTTAGCTGACTGAATGGAAAGAAGACAACAGTCATACTACAAATGGAAGGTGACTAATTTATGATGACATGAGTGGGATCACTGGAGGATGTGGTTAGCTCCGAAGCCGGAGTTACATATCCGAAGGATGTTGGGTGACTCCACTAAATGAAATGGGAGGAGGAATGATTTAGAGGTATGTCACATGATGCCGGAGATCCATCAGGAGGTCGGAGCAAATCCGGAGTCTCCAAATGTTCCAACTTGGGGCTGAGCTTCCGGGATGGGAGTGGCCAAGGTCAAGTGTGCCAAGATCCAGGCCAGAGCTGAGTCAGTTGGGAAGGAAGGTGACATTGAAAAGTGGGGGGGTATGGTGTAGGGGATGGTGAGGTTGTTAGGAAGGTGTAGTGAGGTGGGAGAGTGCAGGGTCAGGATTCCAGGATATGACATTCACCCCTGATTCACCATGTTTTGTGTCAGGATTCAATTCCGAATCATCTGAGCGTGATCCCACATACGCCCACATCCCCTTTCTCCTCTAACTTTCCATGGGTACTGTACCCACACAACCAATTACCGGTCATGCATCACACACACCTTCCGGTCCAGCTGTAAGTGGGCTGTTGTCACACATCACACTGATGTTCCGGTTGAATGATCCTTGTCACACGATTTTTTTTTTGGCGCCCAAGTGGCTGTGTGAAATCAAATTAAAACAAAAGCCGTCCATGACTGCGAGGAAGTAGTTTTTTTTTTGGCGCAAAATGTATCAACAAGAAAATTTGCTAGTTGGACATCAGTAGTGTCACACCAACCTTTCCGGTTGCTTGTCACATGTCACAAGGAGAAGCTGGTTGACTATTTTGTGTCACACTCGGAACCTCAGCCGGTAATTGGTCGTGCAGGTACAGTATTCCTAGCCCCATGTGGGCATACTTTCACCAACTTGACAGACTCTATGGAAATAACAAAAGTCACCCAGTCGTGAAGTGCAAGGGATGTGGAAGCCCCCAAGTAGGCCCCATTCTCATTCTTCTTTGAGGGTTTATTCATGGATTGGTTCAAGGGTGCAGGCTTACAGGGGAAGAGGATACAAGATGTTTTTTCAATTTGACGTGGGATTCAATGTGGAACCTCTACTGGATCCAGGGTGAGCACAACTTAGTGCTAGAAACAAAAATTGAAGACCTTCTAACATGGGAGAAAACTCTGGATTTGGATGGAAGCCTAGAAATGGTTGCAGGATGGCGAGTTGGTGATGATAACGTCAAGCCACTTGTAGTTGGGTCCGACATCCCATCATAACTCCGTTTATTCAGACCCGACAGACCTGAGACACCCAGTCCGACCCCGGACCTGACCGAAGTCCCCGTGACCACGAGTCAGACTAGGTCTCATGCAACACTGAGATTCAATTCTGTATATGGTGGTTGAACCAAATAACTGTCAATGATGGAGATCATGTCAAAAAATCGCTTGCAAAATACTCAAGGGAGCGTAGTAAACACAAGTAGGTTTTTTGGATTCCTGTCAGAGACCAGATTCGAGACGAAGGAATGTCTCCGTAACAGAGGGCTTCGGCCTCAGCGACTTCTGCCAAGAGCGCTGTGCCTAGTGACACGTCCATGCCCTAACTTACTGACTGGCAATTAGAACCCAGGGGGGTAACTCTAGTTGATTTTTCTACTGGGGCATAACCTATGTACAAGTGGGATATATATATAAGGTTACAGCGGGGACGGGTCCGCAATTGGCGGAGCCAAACGGAGCGGAGCTAACGGGGTTTAAACATTAGCCGACTGAATATTACTGACGAGTCGGTTCGCGGGGTTAGCGGAAAGGCAGGCGTTAACCCAGAAACAGAAAGGAGGGATAGGCCCAAAGGTGGGCTCTGCAGGGCAGGCGAGTGTATTGCCCAGCGGAGGTGGGGGTGCGCTAGCGGACGTCGGAGCTGTCCAGAAGTCTTCGGGGCTCCGTACTTAGGGAGGCGTAGGTAATAAATTGAAATGAGGGGGTGGTGACCATCGAGGGGTACCGAGAGGATTGCGGAATATGGGGGCTCCGAGGTTAGTGAGGGAGGAGCGGAGTTAGAACGGAGGGATCGGAGGAACCAGAAGTCGATGGCCAGGGATGGATATGACAGAATTCCGACGTCCGCTAGTGCACTCCTGCCTCCGCTGGGCAATACACTCGCCTGCCCTGCAGAGTCCACCTTCGGGCCTATCCCTCCTTTCCGTTTCTGGGTTAATGCCTGCCTTTCCGCTAACCCCGCGAACCGACTCGTCGGTAATATTCAGTCGGCTAATGTCTTAAACCCCGTTAGCTCCGCTCCGTCCGGCTCCGCTGTAACCATATATATACACTACTTGTACATAGGTTATGCCCCAGCGGATAAATCAACTAGAGTTACCCCCACTAGGTTCTAAGTGCCAGTCAGTAAGTTAGGGCACGGACGTGTCACTAGGCACAGCGCTCCTGGCAGAAGTCGCTGAGGCCAAAGCCCTCCGTTACGGAGACATTCCTTCGTCTTAAATCTGGTCTCTGACAAATTCCGTTATCAGCCCTAGGTAGAGTAGTTAACATTCCATCGCTGACAGAAGGGTAGTTCAATATTTGTTGTCCTGCTTTGGCAGTGGTTAGGACAGTACTGCCTTATATGTCTAGCTCAACTCTCCTCTCCACCCATGATACTCCCCATAATTGCTGATACACGATGTCTGATCGATTGAAGTTTTTTCAAAGGGGACACTCTCCTACGCCTCCCGGTGGCCCACTGCGAACCTCGAACCCTGTTCCCGACCTCCGGATCACTCCTCCAACTGAATGCGATGCAACAACTAGCACAGATCACGGTGGACCTGATAGACCCTGTCTTAAGCCTCTTACTACTGCTGGCAGTAGTTCTTGAGGCCGGAAGCAGTGGTGGTCTGTTCGGCACACTGTGGCTAAGCTGTTGAGCAGAAGTCCCAGTCCCGATCCCACTCATTTCGACCAATCGAGGTCCTCCGACCCCCGACAATTTGACCCCTCTATGCCCGATCTGCCATCCCCTGATCTATCGTCATCTCTCGTTCTCCCTGAGGAAGCCATTGATGTCTCTCACATGATGCCCAGCGAGCACATCATCCGTGGCAACACTGCACCACTAGGATGCACAGGCGTGAACTTGGACACGCCATTGTCGGTGGGTCGGAGACTGTCATCTTCAGCCATCCCTGCTAGTGATGGGAAGAAAACAATCATTGCTGCCACAAGGCTCATCCTCCAAACCGCCACCTCCGCCTTTAAGTTAGCCCCCATTCCAAATCTCGACCAAATACCAAATATACTCCTATCATGGCTCCAAGTTTACAAGGTTCGCAGGGCATCGCGATTTTGCGATCTAATGAAATAACCCCCATGTTTTCATGCAGACCATCAACAACAATGACGAAAATCTCAAGGGATTAGACGATGAAGTTCGAGATGCTCACGAAACGATCTTTAGGCCTCTCCAGTTGTGGACTGGCAAAGTCCCTCCCGAAATTGGTGATCTGATTCAACGACTTAACTTGTATGCACATTCACTTCATCGTCCCCTTGCCCAAATCTCATCTCTCAGCCACAGAGCTCTAAAACAACAATTGAAGCAAATTGAGGCACTCAAACGTCAAAAGCTTGCCAAGAGGGTAATTTCAGTGACTGAGATAACCCAGGAAATAAGCACTGTGAAGTCCTGTATCCGTGATGCTGTCTCTCGCTTTACGGTTCGTTTCACTGGTGTTCAGACTGTCCGATGACTGACTTGGGTTTATCCCATAGACCGCTGCGACGACTCTGAATCTCCTCCACATAATTCAGTCATCGGTGGACCGTTCGTTGTTGTTCCCTGATTTCACTGCTAGGGAGTTAATGATATTTCAGGCAAACTCTCGAAACTCTACAAAGCAGAGGCGGAATACTTTGCGGTGAAAAGCAAGTCGAAATGTGTGGAAAACACCCATGTCCGGATTCAGGAATCGATACTTGATCATTTGGAGAAATGGGAGCACCGATTTGTCTGGCTTCGTGGCTCTCCGGGCACTGGAAAGACTGCTATATCGATGAGTGTCACCTCAGCTCTCGATAAACAGGGTCACTTGGCGGCATCTTTCTTCTGGGACAAAAATCAGAAGGGAGAAGGACTCGATTCAGTTGAACACTTTCCCTCTACTCTTGCACGTCAGCTTGCCTCGTTTAATGCCGAGTACGAGGGTCTTCTTGTCAGTCGACTTTGACAGCCCTCAGCACTGAAGGGCCTCCACGGTTTCACTCTGGAGGAGCAGATGAGAGCTTTGATTGTGGATCCCATGCACAAACTCTTATCTTTGGGTGAGGAGCATCACGTCATCATCTTGGATGGACTGGACAAGTGTGGGGCTCAGGAGGAACTTGAGTCCTTAATGAAGCTAGTACTTATCCTTGATGAACTGCCAGCCACATTTGCTGTGTTGGTCAGTTGTCAGCCAGAATCAACTGTCATGTCAGCTTGGGATGGAGCTCGGGCTCAGGGTCTTGTCATACCATATGAAGATGTGGACACTCTCCCGGAGTCTGAGAAATTTTACACTATCTGTCGCATGGTGGAGGAAGGCCTTCAGGGTTGTGTCAATAAGTCTTCCTGGAAACCGTCCAAAGAGGATATCAATGCGTTTGCCTTGGCCTGCCATGGATTGCTCATTATTGCCTCAATCCGAGTCCAGGATGTCTCTTTTCAAACTCGTCGTGGTGCAACCCTTCAATCTGAGTTCAAATACTTCTGTGACCTCATCGATGCCCCTGTTGACGTCAATTTGGAGTACTTGCATGTACTTCGCCATGCCTATACATTCGACTCATCGGGAATCCCTCCACATATAGCCGAGAAGTATCGCCAACTGGTTGGCACGATCATTGTGGGCTTTGAGCCACTGAGTGTGTTTTCCATGTCACAGCTATTAGGACTTACCAAGGAAGAGATCCTAGCCATATTGGAACCAATTAGTTCAATTGTCGATTTTTCCGAAGAAAGTGGCTTGGAACATTCCTTGAAAAGATGCTCGGAGTACTCAAAGGGTGTCAAATTCTATCATGCAATGATGAAAGAGTTTATAATGGGGGATCCAATTGGTAATGAAAATGACGAAGTATTCTTTATCAAGGATGTGAATAAGTATCTCCTTGGACCACCGCTCCTCCGATTTTTCAATCAAAGTTGTGAGTGGGGTGTGTTTAGGGAGCCCACCATTCTCCCTTTAGGAGATAAATGAAATTGGAGCGATTTTCTGGAGAGAGATCATCATCACCCCATCATCTCCGATATACTCGTCGATACTTGTTAGAACACTTAGACCCCTCACAACTCTTTGCACAAGGGTCCAATTTGCAGAATGAGTTTAATACATTCCTCACCCGAAACTTGGTTACATTTATGCACTTGGCACTGTTCAATGAATGGCGCGAGGGATTCCCTGATGGATTTGATGAATTCAAGGTAAATAAAATCATATATTGTGTCGCGATTATTTTATGTAATAATATGATATCATTTTTATCAGAATCGCAATTCATTCAAACTTTGGAGCGAAGCTCGAGAAAAGCAATTTGTGGAGTATACATCTTGGAGGCCTGGGTCTGGTATTGAAATTTCTTTGGCACCATGGCACCTTCATCGATCAACCCTTCCTGTCACGGCCCCGCAAAGTCCCTGCCCCTCTACCACTTTCTGCACCCCCATTCTTACGCCGTTACTCGCGCCCGTTAATCTCGCCATTGCCCATCACTTAGCGGCGCCGATAGTGGTTCCTGTTCTACGGCCCCGTAGCAGCGCCTCCTTCGTTTTCCCGCCACCACTTGGGTTCCTCAACCATTCGGCCGGTATCGTTTTATTCTATTCACTCACTTAACTAACTAGCGGTTGTTATGGTCGCCGTTGATCCGCTCCTTATGGACATTCCTTATTGACAATTGATTATTCCTTTATTGATATTTGATTTATACATATATTGACATTCTGACCCGCGCACCTAGATTGTCGGCTTATCCTTTCTGCCTCCCAACTTCGCCGTTCTCTGTTCCATTCATCTCTTCTGTTCCATTACCCTGGTCCTCATCACTCTTTAGTTCTGTCGTACTTATCATCTCGTTCCCGTCCCGCGCCGGACCGACCGGTCCCTTCTCTGTTCTCCTTTCCTATTTATACTTGTAGTTTACTGTTGATGTACCTCAGTTCGAATATCGACTAGAATTCCCCCCAAGTACTTTCATCTTAAGTTCGCCCCTCAACTTCATCCCGCTTCAAGTCAACGTCGCCGCAAGGTCTTCCCGCTAACGTGAAATACGGGACAGCCTAGAACACGTGGCGCAACGCTCTGGCAAAGTCGTTGAAGCCGAAGTCCCAACCCCCTCGACGCCTTGCAACGGAGTAGCTCATTAGCTAAGTGTCCACTTACGCCGCCGTACTCCGCCCCGCTTCCCGCGATCCCCTCGAACACAGTTTCTGACACTTCCTTTCACCCCATCCTCATCACCTTTTCACAAACTGTATGGCCACCTCTCCGATCCCGTCCGGATCTTCACTATTTCTGGCGAGTTTTCCAGGCACAGAATCCCATTGAGTGAGGATTTACTCAATGCTCGAATGGTCATGGAGGCAAAGCTACCTAATTTGCCAAAGAAGGCTGATAGTCAGGGTGTTGAGATTGATTATGATGACCCTGATGTTCGTAACAGTATTGTGACATGTGCAGCACTCTCCTTCGATGGTCATCATATAGCTCTAGGTATCGGTAGCAGTGTCATTGAGCTTGCCAATATCGACCATCAGCCCATGATTTCCCGACTCCAGCTTGATCCACCCAACCATCCAGTTTGGATCGAATTTGTCCATGGCAGCCACCAAGTTGCTGCCGAGGACAATGAGGGGAATGTCACCATCCTTAGCTATGATATGACCCCCATTAATCTTGGTACTCTCCCCAATGGTCCTCTTCCTGCTGTAACTCGAGTATCAGATGACGGATTATTTATCATACAGGTTCCGCGGAACACTGATAGCCCTTGGTATGACAACATGACTCTCGTATCTATCTTGGGTGACCCACACATGCAGCACCTCGCAGCACCTTCCAATGGTTTCACTCCAGCTTCCAGCCCTCCTATCGTAGCCTCCGAGACTTCTACTTCATCTTCTGCGTCCATCACAACTGATTCAGATGATCCTCTGCTTGCTATTCCTCACCGTCGCACGCTTGGGTTTTCTCTGGGAGCACATTATATTGGCGTTTTCGATGGCCTCAGGGCTTTCACCTGGTCGACAGATTCGGGTGAGCTTATTGTGAGTTATCGTGTGACGGATTTCAATTTTTGGATTATGCATCCTGCTGTTCCCCCTGCCTGCTCTCATCACATCCCTGATCCTGTATCCGCTCAACCTACCCTTCCCTTGACAGAAGGTGGAGCAGCAGATCGACATTATTCTGAAACAGACATGGGGAATAACTTGGACGGGTCCTGGGTTAAGTGTCCATTTTATGTTCTCTCAAAAAGTGAGGATGAGTGGGATGAGTGGGACAAGAGATGGTGGAAGTTTGAAATCCATTCGTCCGCTGCTGGAAGAACCCCACTGTTTGGAACCAATATAAACTGCACTGGGCTACCAGTGTTCTTCGATGGCAAATTAGAATTGGTTATTCCTGAGGAGTATCAACCAGTTGTTTTTTCTGGTGCCAAAGGTCTAGGCACTTGGTATGGTGATCAAGTGCCAGCTGATCCTACCCTTCTGTACAGCCCTCGGTCCAGCAAAGATGAGACTCGAATCCTCCTCCAAGGCCGGCAGACAGCTCCAATCGTTATTGATCTTAGCCAAGTCATTTAAGATGTTATATTTACTTGTTCATCCTCAAGCTCGAATTTTTTCTCACACAGACACAGAATTGGAATTGTTGAACAATGAACCAACGGAGTGAGCAGGCCCCCCATTAGCATGCACAGAGGTCGCTTCACCCTACCTGCATCCGCAACACTATGACTGTGCCTTGCCTGTTCTATCTGCTGTTCAAGATTGAGGGGGGGAAGCGTCAAGTTTCGCTAGGTCGTCCTTCCATCCTTCTGGACTTCCCCTTGCCGGCTTTCCCTCTCCCTAGGACGCAGTGGGCATAAATAACTCTGGGACTTCAATGGACCCATGAGCGTTCCATCTCTGCACTGTCTTTTGAGTCCCTGTGAGGCAAAATGAATGCTTAGTGTTGCAAATGCAGAGACTTCTGTCTGATCTTGCTCCTTTCGCAGTTCCTCAATTCCCTCTCACTCCATGTCAGAATGAAGGTTTTCTTTGAACATACTAAAAGATTAATATTTCCTTCACCGCTTCCATCATTTCACCCGACATTTATCCTCCGCTGCAGATAATGATTAGCATCGCACGAGCACCAGCTATGTACATACGATTGAAGGCTTCAATAAGATGAATTACATTCCAAGGGCTCCCAGAAGTCGCTCAGCATATCTAAATACATAACCTCAAGGTAGGTGACCTGTGCCCCGACCTAACCCACAAATTTATGGAGCTCAATCCTGGTTCCGCCCCTATTCGTCCCGATTGCCTCATTGCACTCGGACCTGTGGCCAAGGAGAGATCCGATGCGAACCCGATTAGAAGTCGTGCTGCAATCGGTTTCCGGTGGGACAGGCTCTGTCATCCAAGCCCTCTTGCCTACGACAACAGTTTGATTCTTGATTGCAGAATTACGAAAGCTAGGAAAGGGTGTTGCATTCGGAATTGGGAGTCAACACCTGAGAGGGGAGGTGCATGTACTCAAATTGTTGCAAACAGTGATCGCAGTTGCGAAAGTTTGATTACGTGGAGTAACAGTGAAGAATGTTAGAGATGGGCGGAAACGGACGACTCCGGAGTGGAATCGGAGACTTAGCGTGGAGGGACCTTGGCCTCAGCGACTCAAGCGGAGCGCTGTGCCATTGCTGTTTGTCCATTTGGTCCTTAATTTCACAGTAGGTGAGCAGGAAGTCTCTTGGGGGCATTTCAGGTCGATTTCGGACTGAAACCAGACGAGTATGTACAAGCACCGATATATATAAGGAAGGGGCAAAAGCACAAGGAGAAACAAAGGGTGACCGAATCGGAACGAAGACGTCCGAACGGGAACAAAGGGTTAGAGGGAGCGGAGCGGTACCGAAGGTCATAGGGCAAGACCTGTGATACATCCGAAAGGAGGTAGAGTGGGCGAGGCCCAGAGGGGCAGGAGGATGAGGGGAAGTGGGGGTGATGACTAACTGGCTAGAATAGAAGGAAGCAGTAGTCCAAATAGGGATGAGGGGGAATTGCGAGAAATACATTACAAACGGCGAGAGTGCCGGAGGCGGTTCGCGAAGCTTGGGGGTTGTGGAGCTTACGGAGGTTACGGAGGCGGGGTTGGAAGTCCGAGGAATATTGGCAATGGTGTTTACGTAGTATGAGGTCACCAATGCAATGGACTAAGACCGAGGTGGAGTCAAAGTCCGAGGTATGGACTATGACGGAGGCTCGGAGTAAGGTACGAACGGTGTCCGAGTGTGAAGTACGGAACAGCGGTGGATGGTCGTAACTTGGCGGAAGGGTGGCGGAGGAGTGACGGAGGAAGGAGAGAGGGGACAGGTAAGGAAGAGTAGTCAGGTCCGAAGGTGGATATCGGAACGGACGGAGAAAGCGTAGGGGATGACGGGAGGGTGGAGGTGTGGTGAGGGGGGAGCGGAGTTGTAGGAAGGGTGGCGAGTAGGGCGATGTTCGGTCCGAGATGAGTATCGGAACGGACGGAGAAGGGGTCGGAGAGGTAAGAGGAGGGGTGTGTTGCCAAGACCGAAGGTGAGTATCGGAAAGGCAGCGGTAGGTTATGACTCCGGAGGTGAAGAGGGTGGAGGTCCGGAAGTCGGGTCGGGGTTGGGTATGCATGGATATGACAAAGAACACATAATGAGAGCCAAGCAATATCGATTTACACAGCAGAATTGTAGTGGGTATTGCCCTCGAATACCGTTGGTTAACGATAATGCATTCAGCGATTTTTTCAAAAATGTTGAGGGGTGATAAATCCTTGGCATCCCAGGTTGGAGTGGCCTCTGCAGAAATATTTAACTGCCTTCCATGCAGTAAACAATTATGCCACTCATCGATGATTGACATCTACAGCGAGGGCTCGAAACAGTGGCATGTACTGTAACTGTATTGAATGATCACATGCATCCGGATCCGGGCTTCCAGGTCTAAGTTTGCATCCAACTCAAGCGCCACGCGTCACGACCTCATTGCTACGTGTCTATACATAAGTCAATTTGCGTTTTAACGGCTCCAGCACTGTTGCGGACATACTAGGCACCACACCAACACTTTTTCTCGCTTTTTCCGAGCGAAATTCATGCCTTACATACCTGCACTTTGAACTCACCACTATGCATCTCTACATAAGTTAACTGCATTTTAAGCGACTCTGGCGCTGTTGTGGACATACTAGGCACCATACAATCACTTTTTTTCGGCTTCTCTTCTCTGGTTAAAATTTGGATATTCTTTGAGTCTCTTTGGTCCGCAAACCGCTGATTGATCAAGCTATGTGTCACATAGGTTATGTATTACATAGTTTTGTATGTATACTGGTAATATCCCTGACTACTATCACCCACTTACAGTTGCCCAGCAGGCCAGGTTGAACGTTAACATTCGCATCATGGCCACAAGCCACGTGATTTTTCTTGTTGAGCTCACCGCTACGCATGTTTACACTGCTACAAACACCACATCAGACTCGTACCCAGTTGTTTTCACTCTGTGGACATGCATGCGACACTACAATGTTGTCAGGGATCGCTCGTCAGTCCGAGTCGAATATCGCCCGAAAACCTAGTCGTAGACAAAGCTGAGGTTCCAACCCTCAGCGGCACATAGAGCTATATACACAAGTGACATCAATCAATCAGAAGAGATAGGATCAAAGGAACTAAACAATGATCCGATAGAAAACAAAGTGAATAGAGATGAAGGAACACTCGGATCAGGGGGCAGAGTCGGATCAGGAGAAGGTGAGGGATTTACGATATATGAGGGCCGATGCGGCTACATGCAGTGATATAGTCTTACGCGATATCGATAGGGTAACAGAGAACCGCTTACGCTATGTCCCCTGACAAATGTGGAAATGCAACTAAGTAGTTTTGTATTCAATGTAAAGTCACGTTCTGCTTTCAATACAAAGAGTCACATGCTACTCTGAAAATGTGTGCAGACACTTTTCGCATGGGGAACCTCATGTGTTCCAGAATTGTTTTCTGAGAGGATCATGTTGAATTTGGCAAATGCGTAAGTGAACTGCCACTGCTAATGTGTGTTGCCGCGCGGAGTAGCATGTGACTCTTCATATTGAAAGCAGAACGTGACTTTGCATTGAATACAAAACTACTTAGTTGCATTTCCACATTGCAGTGTCGCGCGCACATCCACAGAGTGAAAACAACTGGGTACGAGTCTGATGTGGCGTTTGTAGCAGTGAGCTCAACAGAAAAAAAAAAGAAAATCACGTGACTTGTGACCATGATGCGAACGTTAACGTTCAACCTGGCCTGCTGGGCAACCGTAAGTGGGTGATAGTAGTCAGGGATATTACCAGTATACATACAAAACTATGTAATACATAACCTATGTGACACGTAGCTTGATCAATCAGCGGTTTGCGGACCAAAGAGACTCGAAGAATATCCAAATTTTAACCAGAGAAGAGAAGCCGAAAAAAGTGATTGTGTGGTGCCTAGTATGTCCACAACAGCGCCAGAGTCGCTTAAAACGCAGTTAACTTATGTAGAGGCGCGTAGCGGTGAGTTCAAAGCGCAGGTATGTAAGGCATGAATTTCGCTCGGAAAAAGCGAGAAAAAGTGTTGGTGTGGTGCCTAGTATGTCTGCAACAGCGCTGGAGCCGTTAAAACGCAAATTGACTTATGTATAGACGCGTAGCGATGAGGTCGTGACGCGCGGCGCTTGAGTCGGATGCAAACTTAGACCTGGCCCTGCTCGGCAACCGTAAGTTTGTCCTTGAAGACATTCCGATTTTCGTCCTACGGCAGTGCACATAGAGCAATGGGGCAATTACAGGCTCGCTCACTGGAGTCCCTCCTTTTTTGCAACGCAAATCAACATACACCAAGAAACATCCCTTCTGGTCGCCTCGTTTTGCCACCCGAGTTCTCGTCTGTCGTAGTACTCTTTTGTTTGCTATATTTTGGTTCTTCTCCTATCACATTTCATGGTCGCCCAACCCATGATGGCAAAAGGCATCCTCCCCGCAACTGTATGGAACGATCGTTCTCGGGAAGTGGAAGGATGCATTCCTGTTTGCGTGGCACGGCTACGGAAGTGCCGCTTTTGGATACGATGAGCTCCTGCCGACTTCAGATGGCAGCATTCAGAATTTCAATGGTTGGGGAGTGATGCTCCATGATTCTTTAAAGACCATGCTTCTCATGCGCCTCAAAAACTCTGAAGAGTACAAGCACGCGATGGAGCATGTCGCCAAGCAGACCTTCAAAGACCATGTGGGTCGGAACCGTCATAAGTTTGCGAATTACAATGGTGGAATCTCTTTCTTCGAAACAACCATTCGCTACCTAGGCGGGTTGCTGTCCGCCTGTGGATTGTCGGCCGACTTGGTACTTGGAAAAGGCCAACGAGGTATGTATCGAACAAGTCCCTGGAAAGCTATCACCGACAATCCAATCTCAGCTTGAAGAGACCCTGCTTTCCACGTTCAAATCGGCTTCAGGCCTCCCTTACCATGGCTATGACCCAACCGGGTGTGTTGAGGCGCCTTATTCATATTCTCTGATGTCGCTGACCAACTTATCACATCAGCAATCACACAACGTATTGATCTTAATGACATCGACCTTCTGCAGGAAACGCAGACGAAGGACGGGTTATGGAGTGCATATTGGGGGTGGAAATCGGTATTCGCTCGGTCGCAAGTATGTTATATGTACCTTTATGGCCAATTGGTTCCCAGGAGAAGTGGTGTGATCCGGACTAGCCCACCACTCCGTCGGCGGTATGGTAGACAGTATGACAAGTGAGAGCCTCATCACAAAGTGACATCTCTCATTTGTTGAGGCACTTTCTAATTCCGGTACGAATGCATCTTCTATGGCAAGTCCGAAAAGCGGATTCCGGACACGCGTTGCCATTTCAACACTTTCGTTGTTCGCGGCCTCGAATTTAGATCTCAATCCGTTGAAAGCGCCATGACCAATATGTAGTTCCTCTCAGTCATTCCGATTCGTGATGTCTCTTCCGTGGATCTCGTGTGCCTCTACACGAGCCTCATCGCGCTTGGCGTGGAGGCACTTGGCTCGGAACTCACGCAAGAACAATCAGATTTGCACCACTGGGCGGCTGGGCGGCTGAAGGACTGACGACTTGGTGCCACCTTGTATATGGGGAGTGGTTTGGGTGCTGAGGTCCGGCAGCCTGTAAATGGGTAAAGTAAGGCGGTGGAAGAACGGTGGAGCTGAAAGGAGTTCCACTGGGTCTGAAAGGCGTAGCGAGATCTATGGTTCGCGCACAGGGATTATTATATAGGAGATACGTAACGTGGGAGGTCATGATGACATTGGAACCAATTGTTGATCTTTCCCCGGAACGTTCCTCAGGAAACGCCAAGGGGTGTCACGTACTATCACGGAACGATGAAGTCATAGCAGGGTACTCTGATTCTGGTTACGCTCCTTCCATTTCTCGGCAATGGTTGAGCCGGGCGTCTCCCGTTTTAAGAGTAAGAGATGATGGGAATGGAAGAATGCCTTCCTTGTTCGATATTTCGTCCATTAAATATGTGAGTGAAAAACCATTGGTATCGCGCGTGTTTTAAGGATCTGATGTCATTTTCCGATAGAGTTGCTATTCATTCAAGCTCCGAGAGAAGCTCAAGAAGATTCGCGCATAATTCCAATGTCGGAACAGTCATCTTCAACTACCGAACCTTTATCGATCGGTTGTTTCCTTTCACCCCATCCTCATTGCCTTCTGTACGGCCATCGGTCTCTCTGATTCTGGACACAAATCCCGCTGAGTGAGAATTTACTCAATACCCGAACGGTCATGGAACCAAAGTTGCCAAAGGGTGCTGAGGCGCGGCGACCAATTACGAAGCCCGATTCGATGTTCGCTATGGTACTGTGGCATCATACATTTGCGGCGCTTCTCCCACCGACGGTCGTCATGTAGCCCTCGGCTGTATCATCGAGCTCACTGACATCGACCAGAGTCAGCGCACGATTTCCCAATTCCAACTCGATCCACCCAACTACCCTGTTCTATTGAGGATGATGAATTATTTGTCATACGAGTTCCGCGGAAGACTGACAAGCCTTGGCACGAGAACATGAACATAACGCTTATATCGGCTTCAGACGACCCGCGAGTTCAACTCCTGGCTTCGCGTCTGCTTCGAATCCTTCCATTCCACCCTTCCGCTTAATTATTTGTTAACCACCCCTCATCGCCGCATGCTTGGGTTCTCTCCCAGTATACAGAGTCGGTTGCGTGCCATCCTGTTACGAATTTCGGTTCTTGGATTATGAATCCCACTGTTTCTACCCCTTGCTCGCACCCTACATATTCCTGATCCCATGCCAGCCGACGCACTCCCTCGAAGGTGACGCAACAGCCATGCATCATTCCGAAGTGGACGCAGTGCGTGACTGGATGGGTCCTAGATCAAGCATGCCTGAAGACCTCGGCGCCGATCCAACTGCAAAACAGAATTCTCCGGCCACTCACAGCGATCTTAGGGTGCGTAGCGACAACCGTCTAAGCTTTGTATGGCGATCGAACGCCGTTTGATGCCACGAATCTCTACCGCCTTCCGTCCAGCAACAAGGCTGGATGACGGCTCCATTGTCTTCGATGTTAGTTAAGTCGTCTGGTCGTTGTCACCCTTAGCCATGGTATGGTCCCCGCGAGTCTCGGTACTCTCCCTTTTCTGCTGGAGCATTGATGTCAGAGGCCTTGGTATGACAACATGACGCTCATACCGTCGAGCCGCACGTTTAGCCCTTCCTTTCTCCTTCTGACCCTTCCACTCCATCCTTTCACCCAAATTCTTTGCTAGGCATTCCTCGTCATCGCGCGCTTGGGTTTCCTTCCGGAGCATGGTATTTTGGCGCTTTTGATCGGTGCTTTCACTTAGTCGACCGAGTCGGGCGGGTTCATTGCGCCTTCCAGCGTTACGAATGTCGGTTCTTGATTCATGAATCTCACAGTCCCCACCGCTCGCTCATATCTCATCCCTGGTCCTGTATCCCTCGATCCAATCCTCCCGGGTGATACAACAGACTTACACCCTTTCTAAACCAAATGCATGACTCAGATACGTCCCATTTTACGGCCTGCCACCAGGCACGCACGAAGACCTCAGCGCCCATTTGTATGTTTCAGGGAGAACCCCATTGCTCTGGATGAGAAACATAAGCGAGGGACCACTAATATGGTTTGATGGCAGAACAGAGTCCACTGGCTCCATGTACGCGGTACCCGCTGGTTAATCTCAGGGTGGGTTGCGTGAACCATCTAGGAACCTCGTATGATGATCGAGTGCCGTTTGATGCTACGAATTGCGAATCTAAATTATTTTCCGGTCCAGCAAGGATGGGATTCGACTTGACCGGATGGCAGCTCCAATTGTCATCGAGTCGTTTAGGACATTCGCGGCCGTTGTAGTCCCTTCCTCTCCACTTGTCAGTCACCTAGCTCGAGCGTTTCCCCGTCACCGCGTTATATATAGTCCCCCGATTTGTACATCACTGCGCTTGAGATTTTATAATATTAATAATAACGAGTAAGTAGTAAATGCTGGTGAAGGGGAACATCCTCTAGCTCTGAAGTCGAACGTCGAAGCGCCACCACCCTGAACAAGGATCCGGACGCAATAGCATAGCTCGCATATATCTACATCAAGATTTCCTTGCATGGATCAGTTGAGCCAAGCGTCCTCCCGGTATTGGTTGCTGCACTCATGGAATCCCCATCCGACATCCACCTATGGCCCCATTGATAAACGTTGCTCCTACGATACCAGCGGAGATCTTGGCACCCCTGAGGGCCGAGGATGCTGCAAGCACGAGGAGCCGAATTCCGAACAGATTGTCTTTCGTTTGGCATGAAGGTCTGCACTTGAAATCTTCTGAGCCCAACCAGCAGGCCGTTCGTCAAAGTTGTCATCCTGGAAATTGACCCCCTCATGAAGATTAAATGCCTTTCGCCTTGCCGACGATGTTCGATGCACTTGGATAGATTCATATACATAGTAATGGAAAGGAGTGTCAAGCTTTCTCCCCACCGGGTCGGAAGCAGAGTGGGTTTGGCAGAAAGATGAGAAGACAAATCACTGTTTGAATATCAGGGGACGCCTTCGAGTTGGTGGCTCTGGGGAAGAAACGGAAAGTTTAGCGTGTTAAAGAGTAACAACCAGATAGAGCTGTGTTGATGCATCACGCGGAGACATTGCAGGGGAGGGACTAACAACAAGTCCATTGTGGTGCAGCTCGTGTGATTGCCGTCTGAGAGTACATACACTGATCGAGATATCTTGTACGAGCGGGACTTTGTCATCACTCGAAGTATTAAATAACATCTTCCACCCACCCATTCTCAAGGACAGTAGCGCTTGATATGTGGGGAAGGCTAGGTATTCCATGTTTTAGAACGACAGCGAGATAAAATACCTCCGCTACTTGAATACCTGGAGGCGCGAGGTCGCCAATTAGAGTTAGAAGCGGACACTACAGAGAGGAGCCCAACAGTAATAGAATCTTGAAGCGCAAGATTGAAATATTTTGCGCAACAGTGCCAGTAGTAAGTAACCCGACAAAATAGTGGATGCCTGGCAAGTAATTGCTGCCCAAATTCCATCAAAGTTTATGTCGGCGTCACACAAAGCAAAGCCAACCAGTCAGATACACCCCACCATCAACAACTTGTATATACGATTGAGGAGCTAGGAAGTCATCTAGAGCTGCTCTACTCTGAGCGTTTGAAGCGAAGCAACCGGGCTGAGCGTATTGCTGGAGAGCGAATAACCGAGAGGGGCAGTGACAAGGCGGACACCAGACGAGACTCTGATGTTCGTGTGTGCAATTAATTTGAATATTCGTGTATAGGATAGCTCGCTGTGGCAGGATGATGATAAATCTATCTTAATACCCCGCGGCCTCGTGATGTCGTGGCAGGAAACACAAGGCTGCCTTTGGTGGTCCGAACCAAATAACTGTCAACGACGGAGACCATGTCAAAAAATCGCTGGAAAAATAATTAAGAGAGCGTACTAAACACAGGTGGGTTTTTTGGATTTCATTAATTATCGACCCTAATACTTTTGGTAGCGTTGTTTACAATCCATCGCCGACAGAAGGGTACTTGAATATCTGTTGTCCTGATTTGGCAGTGGTTAGGACAGTACTGCCTTATATGTCGAGTGGTTGAAGGCGGTTCGACTCTCCTCTCTGCCTGCGACACCCTCTGCGATTGCTGATACACGATGTTTGATCGACTCAAGTTTTCTAAAAGAGGACACTCTCCTGCGCCTCCCGGTGGCCCATCGCGACCCTCGACCTCTGTTCGCGACCTCCAGATCACTACTGCTCCAACTGAAAGTGATGCAACATCTAGAACGGATCACGGTGGATCTGATAGATCCCGTCTTAAGCCTCTTACTACTACTGGCGGTAGTTCTCGAGGCCGGGGGCAGCGGTGGTCTGTTCGGCACACTATAGCCAAGCTGTTGAGCAGAAGTCCCAGTCCCGATCCCACTCATGTCGACCAATCAAAGTCCTCCGATCCCAGACAATCTGACCCCTCTATGCCCGACCCATCCCCTAATCTATCGCCATTTCCCGTTCTCCCTGAGGGGGCCATTGATATCTCTCACATGATACCCAGCGCGCGCATCATCCGTGCCAACACTGGGACTCCCCACCCACCACTAGGACGCACAGGTGTGAACTTGGATACGCCATCGTCAATGGATCGAACACCATCATCTTCAGCCGTCCCTGCTGGTGACGGAAAGAAAACAATCATCGCCGCCACAAAGCTCGTCCTTCAAACCGCCGCCTCTGCCCTTAAGTTAGCCCCCATTCCAAATCTCGACCAAACACCAAATATACTCCTATCGTGGCTCCAAGTTTATGAGGTTCGCAGGGCGTTGCGATTTTGCAATCGAATAATATAACCTCACGTTTTCATACAGACCTTCGACAACAATGACGAAAATCTTAAGGGATTAGACGATGAAGTTCGAAGCGCTCACGAAACCATCTTTAGGCCTCTACAGTTATGGACTGGCCAGGTTCCTCCTGAAATCCGCGAGCTAATTCAACAATTTAACTTGTATGTACCTCCACTTATCGCTCTCCCATCCGAACCTCACCTCCCGGTGACAGGGCCTTAAGACAGCAATTGATGCAAATCGAAGCACTCAAACGTCAAAAGCTCGCCAAGAGGGTAATCCTAGCGACTGAAATATCTCAGGAGATAAGCGCTGTGAAGTCCTGTATATGTGATGCTGTCTCCCGTTTCACGGTTTGTTTTGTCAGTGTTCAGACTATACATTAACTGACTGGGCGTGCACCGTAGACTGCGGCAACAACTCTGAATCTCTTCCACACAATCCGGTTATCGATAGACTGTTCGTTGCACTCCCTTATTTTTCGCTGCTTAGAATTGTTCAATGATATTCCAGATGAACTCTCGAAACTCTACAAAGCAAACGCGGAATACTCTGCCGTGGAAAGCAAGTCGGAATGCCTGGAAAACACCCGTGTCCAGATTCAGGAATCGATACTCGGTCACTTGGAGAAACGGGAGCACCGATTTGTCTGGCTTCGCGGCTCTCCGGGAACTGGAAAGACTGCTATATCAATGAGAGTCGCGTCAACTTTCGACAAACAGAATCGCTTGGCAGCATCTTTCTTCTGGGACAAGAATCGGAAGGGCGCAGGACTTGCTTCGATTGAACACTTTCCCTCTACTCTTGCGCGTCAGCTTGCCTTGTTTAATGCCGAGTATGAGGGTCTTCTTGTCAGTCGACTCCGACAGCCTTCATTATTGAAGGGTGTTCTTGGCTCCGCTCAGGAGAAGCAAATGAGAGCTTGGGTTATTGAACCCATGCGCAAACTCTTATCTTTGGGTGAGGGGCACCTCGTCATCATTTTGGATGGACTGGACGAGTGTGGGGATCAGGAGGAACTTGAGTCCTTAATGAAGCTAGTGCTTTTCCTTGATGAGCTGCCGGCCGCGTTTTCGGTGTTGGTCAGCTCTCGGCCAGAGTCATCCGTGGTGTCAGCTTGGGCTCGAGCTCGGGCTCAGGGTCTTGTCATCCCATATGAAGATGTGGACATTGTCACTGAGGAAGAGAAGTACAACACTATCCACCACATGGTGTCGGAAGGCCTCCAGGGTTGCATCGATAAGTCTTCTTGGAAACCATCCGAAGAAGATGTCGATGTATTTGTCTCAGCATGTCGTGGACTGCCGATTATTGCTTCAATCCGAGTCCGGGATGTCTCCATTCGAACTCGTCGTGGTGCAACCCTTCGATCCGAGTTCAAATACTTCCGTGACCTTATCAATGCCCCTGTTGATGTCAATTTGGAGTACCTGCGCATACTTCGCCGTGCCTATATATTCGACTCATCTGGAGTTCCTCCACATATAGCGGAGAACTATCGCCAAGTGGTTGCCACAATCAATGTGGCATTTGAGCCACTGAGTGTGTTTTCCATGTCTCAGCTATTAGGAATTGCTGAGGAAGAGGTCTTAGCCATATTGGATCCAATTAGCTCAATTGTCAGTTTTTATGAAGAAAGTGGTTTGGAACGTTCCTCGCAAACTTCCTCAGAGGACCCAAAGGGTGTCAAATTCTATCATGCAACGATGAAAGAGTTCATTGCGGGGGATCCGATTGGTAACGAGAATGACAAAGTATTCTTTATCAAGGATGTGAATAAGTATTTCCTCGGACCACGGCTCCTCCGATTATTCAATAAAAGTTGTGAGCGGGATGTGTTTGGGGAGCCTGCCATTCTCCCTTTAGGAGATGAACAAAAATGGGACGATTTTATGGAGAGAGAACTTGATCGCCCCCAGTATCTCCGATATACTCGTCGACATTTATTGAAACACTTAGATCCCTCAGAGCTCTTTGCACAAGGGTCCAATTTGCAGAACGAGTTTAATACATTCCTCACGCGAAACTTGGTTACATTTATGCACCTGGCCTCATTCGATGAATTTAACAAGGGATTCCCTGATGGATTTGATGAATTCAAGGTAAATAAAATCGTTGTGTCGCGATTATTTTAATATGATGTCATTTTTAACAGAATTGTGATTCATTCAAACTTTTGAAAGAAGCTCGAGAAAAGGAATTTGTGGAGTATCTGTATACAATTTCCCCATTTCCATGGCACCTCCATCGGTCGATCCTTCCTTTCACCCCATCCTCATCGCCTTTGTACAAACTCTATGGCCACCTCTCCGATCCCATCCAGATCTTCACCATTTCTGGTGAGTTTTCTGGGCACAGAATCCCATTGAGTGAGGATTTACTCAATGCTCGAATGGTCATGGAGGGGAAGCTACCTAATTTGCCGAAGGAGGTGGTTAGTGAGGCTGTTAGTGAGGGTGTTGAGATCATTGATTATGATGCCCAATTCAACGACCTTGACGTTCGTAACGGTATTGTGACATGTGCAGCGCTCTCCCTTGATGGTTGCCATGTAGCACTTGGTTTTGGTAGCGGTGTCATTGAGCTTGCTGATATCGACCAGCAGCACACAATTTCCCGATTCCAGCTCAATCCGCCCAACCATCCAGTCTGGATTGAATTTGTTCATGGCAGCCACCAAGTCGCTGCTGAGGATAACAAGGGAAACATCACCATCCTTAGACACAATATGGACCCCATCAATCTTGGTACTCTTCCCAACAGTTCTCCTCCTGTAACTCAAGCATCAGATAATGGATTATTTATCATACGGGTTCCACGGAACACTGATAGCTTCTGGTACGACAGCCTGACTCTCATATCCATTTTGGGTGACCCACACACGCAGCACCTCTCACCCCCTTCTTCCGATAATTTCACTCCAACTTCCAACCCTCCTATCTTAGCCTCCGAGTCCTCTACTTCATCCTCTACATCCATTTACTCAGATGATGTCATACTCGCTATTCCTCACCGTCGCACGCTTGGGTTTTCTCCAGGAGCACGCTATATCGGTGCTTTCGATGGCCTCAGCGCTTTTACATGGTCGACAGATTCAGGTGAGCTCATTGCGAGTTATCGTATGATGGATTTCAAATTTTGGATTATGCATCCTGCTGCTTCCCTCACCTGCTCTCATCGCATCCCTGATCCTGTATCTGCTCGACCTACCCTTGTCTTGACAGAAGGTGGAGCAGCAGATCGACTTCATCCCAAAACAGACATGGGACATAACTCGGACGAGTCTTGGATTAAGTGCCCATTCTATGTTCTCTTGCAAAGTGAAGGGGATAGGTGGGAGAAATATGAGGAGAGACGGCAGGGGTTTAAAATCCATTCATCCGCTGCCGGAAGAACTCCGCTGTTTGGAACCGATATGAAACACCTTGGGTTACCAGTCTTCTTCAATGGAAAATTAGAATTCATTGTTCCTAAGGAGTATCAACCAATTGTTTCCTCTGGTGCCAAAGATCTACGTGCTTGGTATGGTGATCAAGTGCCATCTGATCCTACCGTTCTGTACAGCCCTCGATCCAGCAAAGATGGGACTCAAATCCTCCTCCAAGGCCGGCAGACAGCTCCAATCGTTATTGATCTTAGCCAAGTCATTTAGGATGTTATATTTACTTGTTCGTCCTCAAGCTCGAATGTTTTTCTCACAGAATTGGAATTGTGGAACAATGAACCAACGGAGTGAGCAGGCCCCCCATTAGCATGCACAGAGGTCGCTTCACCCTACCTGCATCCGTGACACTATGACTGTGCCTTGCACATTCTATCTGCTGTTCAAGATCGAGGGGGGGAAGCGTCAAGTTTCGCTAGGTCGTCCTTTCATTCTTCTGGACTTCCCCTCTCCGACTTTCCCTCTCCCTAGGATGCAGTAGGCATGAATAACCCTGGGACTTCAATGGACCCACGAGCGTTCCGTCTCTGTGTTGGAATTTGCATGTGGTCTTTTAGGGAAACCTAAAAGTTGGACATACTGGGAATCGAACTCCAGTCTTCTGGATCGCGAACTCAGTGTGCACAGCCATTACACCATACGCCCCGTTAGGCTGAGGTGGTTATTTCAACACTCTGCACTGCTACTAGCTCGCCGAAGCGAAACTTCATACATACATGATTGCACGATCAATAAAACTGTTTGGCAACAACTACATGATATGTATCTTTCTTGTTAAATGCCTCCATGAAGCCCAGCGCTTTTACGCTAGGTAGTCACCGGCATTAAATGTAGTTCACGTATACCAGACCTAAAATTCTAATAACTAGTAGCCCGAACGACGTCTCTAGCTTCGGAACGAGGATCCTCTAATTCGTTGGATACAATTCTATTGGTAAGACGTGAGAGAAAATCCTTCGTTTACCTCTGCATGCCGGCACGGTTCATGACGTGTGTTCCGGAAATCGAAGACTCATTGAGCAGAACTCTCTTTGACTTGTTATCCCTTGTTCGATAGCGTCACCGCTGAGCGATGGTTGCGTATAAAAAGGACAGTTTTTGGACCTACTACCTTCCCACTCTATTCCAATAGAGGCTGGTAGCCTGCCTACCTTCCCTCATATATCTCCTCTACTACGAGACTGAGGTGAAAGCCGCTGCCCTCACAGAACGTTCATATTCGTAAGTTGTGTTACGTACAGAATCATACATACATAGGCGCAGTCAATTAATCTGATCCTCAACGCGAAAATAATTGAGTACTTAGGTAGATATAGGTTTTTGGGTATATTAACTTGTGGTACTGGGACGGGCTGCAAGCGCAACGTGATAGTATGCATACGGGGGAAACTATTGCGAAGAATGCCATTTATGCGGTAGATAGTAGGAACTGATGGCAGTTGCTGAGTTTACCAAGAGTGACAAAATGGTTATATTTACTATATGTGTCAAAGAAAGGTGATGTGCTGTGGTTGTGTCCACTGTGCTTGAGTGTGCGATCATGTTCCTTGAGATGCGACTGGGGATAAAATCGATGTGATGGGCCTAATGTCATCCTACAGAATGCCCGTGAACCTCGCCGCCGTTTCGAGATGCAAATCAACCGGGACACCCGACTCGAACAGCCAATCGAGGGTGTCATGCCCACTCGGGCGCGACGCTGAGTAACAGCTCTGACGGGTGCCACGGATGCCGGAAAGGCTGCGCATACCGAGGGGGAGGGGAGTGGAGGGGCTCGGGACCCGAATGGATGACCCTTTCTCCTGAATACACCGCAGCATGAGTCGAGCAGTCATCAGAAAGAGAGGAGACATGCTTACGTCCAACATTCCATGGGATGATCTTGATGTGGCAGCGGGAGCCGGGTCCACCAGGTCAGTCGAATTTGGCGCCTTCAGGAGTACTTGTGGGTGGTACGGGGCCCTCACGGTAGTGGTAGTCTTGAAATTTAGGCGTGTCGAGATGTCGTGATTGTGCCGATCGCCAATAATGGTTTCGATCACTATGTCTCTGTTGATTGGGTCAGCCTTGCGACTATGTATGGTATCTTGCCTCCTACTTACCCAGGTGACGCATCAATATCTCCTACAATGTATCCTCCATGCCACTCCAAAATCCACGGTAAGAAGCTGTGCTTCGTTGCACTGACATTCTAGAAGAATAGTGGGGGAAGGCTCCGGTTCAGCCAGAGGCATCCAGACGCTCCCGCTTCGTTGAGGGTCCCACCATAGCCGAATCATCATCCATCTTCCGCTTCTGAAAGGCTGCGCATACCCGTGGAAAAACTTGCAAGAGAACCTTCTGGATTATTCTTCGTCACCGAGTTCGCGGGGAGCCCTGTCACAACGGCGCATGGGCATAAACATGAAAGAAAGAGGAATGGTGCCTTACCTTGCTGCTCAGACGCCCAAGCCTCACCCGCCACCACCAAGCTCGAGAGAGGGCGGGAACGGCTAGCAGTGGGTTTGGGACAGGGCGAGGCGAGGCGAATGGGCGACCTTTTCTCCTGATTACACACCGCAGCATGAGTCTTCGCAGTCATGGGAGAGAGAGGAGACGCGCTTACGTTCAGCGGTCCCGGCGAAAAACATAAGACTGGCAGCTTCCTTCAATGGATTTCATGGTGGCGCGGAGGACGTTGATACGTCGCCTGGGTACAAATAATTTAAAGTAGGAGGCAAGAGACTGTACATTCTACCAACCTGACCCAATCATCAGAGACATAGTGATCGAAGGTGTTATTGACGATCGGCGCAACCACCACATTTCAACACGCCCAAATCTAAAGGCTATCATCGTCGTGAGGGTCCCCTATCACGCCCAAGTTCTTCTTAAGGCGTCATTTTCGAGTGACTTGGCGGACCAAGAACCCGCAGCCCATCAGGATCGTCCCATGTATTGTTCACTGAAAGATGGTGGGGGAAGGCTCTGGTTCAGCCAGAGCGATTCAGGGGATTTTATGCAGTTCCGAACAGCATACGTCATCATCTTGGATTTCATTTTACTCGGTGTTAAATGCCTAAAAACAAGTACAGCCGTTTTCGGCTTTGTTGTCACGTGACCCAGTTTTTGGTTCCGTCACGCTCGCTGCCTGAGAACAGGCCCCGACAAAGAGTCCGCCATATCTCGGCAACCGCATGAGCTAGTCACTTGCGGTTTGCTGCAAAACGTTCGTACATTTATTACGCCCGGACCTTTTTTAGCGATAACGATAATTCTCATTTCTCGTGATTTTAGGTTTTACCCCTTTGTGCATGATTTTCTCGACAACGGCTGGACGGAATGTGCTGAAAATTAGGCTGAGAGAAGTTGGAATATGTCCCTCGGGACCTTTTTTTTCTTTAGTTGAAATGTTGCGTTTTTACCTTTCTATCACTCAATCATTCTTTTTGGTAACGCAAATCCATTGTGCACGATAATGACTGCGCAGAATATGGTGAAACTTATGCAGAAATCACTTCACCTATATATCTCGGGACCTTTTTTCTTTTAAGTTAATCCGTTGCGTTTTTATCATTTACACGTTATACATGCTCATCCAGCCGGCTCTTTCTGCCGTTGTTTTCTCCCCACAGCTTCTGCGATGATTCCGAACTCTACATAGATGCCTACCTGGGCCGGATTTGGCTGTGGCATACTCCTCTCCTCGTTTCAGTTACCACACAGCCGATCGTTGTGATACCTGGTGTCGAATACATGGCAACTTCGACCTACAATCTCTCAGAGCCAGTGGGCAGATATGGGGACTTAGGTAGAAGGTACGTAGTTACCTTACCGTATCTCCTCATCCAAAACCAACCCAATGATTCTCACATCAATTTACACATATCCATTTATGTCCTAGGCGCTCCATTGCTTCGCGGGCTTGGTCATCGAACTCATGCATGTCACTTCAAATAAATCCAGACCACTACTCGGACCACCCATTCATGACGAATCTGCCACAAGAGCAATGACTGCAACCCAGAAAGAGTCAAGGAGTGCAAACCCTCGGATCAACTCCCGCTCATCGTCGTCCCCGATCGCTCCGATTTCATTCGCGATCTTGTTCTTTATATTTACATACTGGTTAAGCTCACGTTCGGCCCACCGACACTCCCCACATGCTTCGGGCTGTGGACAACCCTCTGGACATTGACTACGACAATGTGAATATCAAATGTCTTCACACCTCCATTATTCGGATTGCACAACCGGCCTTGGGTTGAGGCGTGTGTTGCCAGTGTGCAATGCATCAGTGAGGGCTTATATTGACAGCCACCCTGAAGCCTTCCTCAAGGAAAAGGAAAACTTACATAACGTGCGTGCTCGATATTCTGGCTATTGTTTGCTCACTCATGAAAAATTTGCTCAATCCATCCCTTGCGTATATTGCCCATGTGAGAGGCCCCGCGCTATTTGGTGAAGCATTGTCGGCTTCGGCATTAGGCTTGTGTGCTTGTTCACAAGCCACCCCTCTACCTCTTGCGGCTTGCTACAGACTTGGAGCATAGCTCGCACCAAATGAGGTGAATTTTTGGAACTACTCTCCCCTCAGTTCTCTCTAGAGTCTGAGGCGAGAGTTTATTGTCAATTTTTGTTTCACTTATGTACTTATGTAAATACACACTGGCGGACGGCTTTTTCCGTTGCTGTTTTTCTTATGCCACCATCTCGCTTTGGCGATGATTTTAAAGCCCTCGTTCTTCGCATAGATGGCCACCTGGGCACAAATATGGCAGAATACCTTTCTGGCATCAGTGGTCGCACGGTCCAGCGCTGGCGAGCCCGGTATCGATTGTATGGCCACTTTGATCCGCCGTCACCAAAAACCGGAGGCCATCTACGGGCACTCAGTGCAGAAGATACACAGGTAGGTAACCCATATTCTCATTCAATTCTGGAGATATTGACAACAGGTTTATATAGTTTCTTTTGGGTTTACTGGAAGCGCAGCCCGACTTATTTTTAGATGAGATCCAGCGAAAGCTTATTGATCGGCGTGGCATAATTGTCTCCCAGTCATCCATTTGGAAGACGTTGAATCGTGAGGGATACACCATGAAGAAGGTATGTATGATACCAGTACTCATTTATGTATTATTTCGCAACTCATCCAACATTGAGATGCAACGTGAAGCTCGCGAACGCAATGAGGAAAGGCGCATAGAGTGGCACAAGCATGTTCTTGATACCTACCTTCCAGATCAGTTTGTCTTTGTGGACGAGACTGCTGTTGACAAGCGTACCACTCTTCGGATCAGAGGATGGGCACGAAAGGGATGCCGTGCCATTGTTCATTCAAGCCATGCAAAAGGCAAAAGGTGGGCACATGTTTACCTGAATCACCGATGAACTAACCCTTGGGTTTTTCATATAGATTCTCAGTACTTCCTGGGCTATCTTTGGACGGTCCACTCTGTATTGAAGCACGGAATGGTTCTTATGACACACAACACTTTCGTCGCTTCATCCGCAAATTATTGAAAAAAATGAACCCATACCCGTTCAAGAACTCCGTGATTGTGATGGACAATTGCTCGATTCACAAACATCCTTCCATCCAGCGTATGATTGAGAGACGGTATGCTGACAGTTTATTCTCAAATGTTTTCTTAGTGACCTTCGCGTTACTCAGTGGTTGTAAATTGCTTTTCCTTCCTCCATATTCTCCTGACTTCAACCCGATTGAAGAATCTTTCTCTAAATTCAAGCATATTTTACGTCGTCATGGGGTGTCGCTGCGGGAAATCATGAGTACGGAAAGTGATGAAGTTGTAGAGAATCATTTGTGCGATATCTACCATACCATTTCAGCTCAGGATGCGCAGGGCTGGTTCAGAGATTCTGGATACTTGTAAACTAGCTGTGTGTCCAATATATGTGCATTGAACGCGGTAAAGTACAGGAGGCAGGAAGACTTAGTAACCTTTGCTGCGCATAAATTTTCGCGAAACTTTCTTAAATTCACTGCGCATTGCACGGCACAGCTTCGCTGAAAGACCGGGGAGGATGTCAACACCGAGCTCATGAAGCCCTTTTTCCTGACAAGCTGCTGCTAGCACGTCCAGGCGGTAGTACCCTAGTTGGTTGAGTTGTGCAGCATATTGAGTGAACTGCAATTGATCCGGGTTGAAGCCCGCATCCTCCTCAAGGCCCTGCAACCAGTCCCCAATAGTGGGAAACGCCGAGGATGGGGGCGTAAAATCATCACTGCTTGATACAAGCATCCGCGAAGTCCCTCCCTGCCGTTGGTGGTAACTAAGTTGTCCATGAGCACTGGGGCTATAGCGGCTAGGCGCTGGGTAACCATTCATGGGGGGGAAGGGGGCAGGACCCTGAAAGTAATAGGATGGTGGTGGATACATCGGAGGGAATGTGGAATACATCGCAGGCCAATTGACCGGAATGTTGCCTTGGATGGGATTGGCCATGACAACCATACCTGCCGACCCTGATCCAGGGTTTGGAGGTGGGTCAACGGACGTTGGAGATTGCGATGTAGATTTCACACCCCGCTTGTTTGGCTTGCCGGGTGGAGGGACTTGTAGCTTGGGTTTCATGCGGTCTTTCAAGAAATAGACTGGAGGTTCTTCAAGGGTGGAAGTGCCCAGACTCTGTAACTAAGTGATGAATTCACGAAATATCATTTGGAAAATGTACATACAATTGACTGCGCCCACTGCTTGATGTTCAACTTGGTTAGAATGACATGATATCCATCAGTACCACGAGCCGTTGACACATGGCAGTGCTCCATGTGAGACTCGCAGAAAGGATTCCTCTGTTTGATGAGCTCTTCTAACTCGTGGGTTGATGGCATTCCCGCTGGAATCTTGCGCTGCTTAGACTCAGAGTCCGAATTGGATTCAGAGGTTGAGACTGGTGAGTCTGGCTGCTCGACCCTGGCCTTCTTCGATTTACGAATTGGCTTGTTGCCTCGAGATGATTCAGTATTGTCTTTTGGGGGCTGTTAAACAATAAATCCAATCAATGACTGGCTAGTTCAGATATTCTTGTTGATTAACATACCAAGTTATTGATAATTATCGCAACTGTTGGCTCCTTTTTTGCCCTTGCTTTCTCAACTTCGCCAACCATCATTTTGTAATCATCTTTGTTGTCGACTGCAACCGGATCTTGGTTCTTTGGCGCTGTGTACATTTTCCATGATAGTTCGTGCTTGAAAGTGAGCGTCTCTGAAAATCCTGAGGCCTGAATGATGGCAGCACGCCATTTCTTGTACTTCTCGGTACTTGGCATCCGGCAGCGTTTGAATTTGCCTCCGATGTTGACCATATAGGTAATCTCGAGGGGCTCAGGCAGTTCAGGACTTTCACTACGCTGTGGTAGCTTGTCTCCTGAGGACAGGGCATTGGATGCACCTAAGATCAAAAAATATAAATTTGAATCTCCCGAAAAATTCAATGTTCACTTACCTATCATGCTTGTAATATCAGGTATGTCAACGCGATTCTCTGTAGTCACCCGCAGCACAGGGCCCATATCTGGGGAGGCCTGATAATATGCTTCGGACGGTTGGGGCATGTGTGAATATTTGTTAGAAAGCATCTCTGGTTCCATGGCCACTGCGGTAGCTGCTGCCGCTAAAGCGTTCAGGCCAATGGGATCATGCATTGCCATGTCCATATTTGATGGAGGTGATTGGGGGGAGGAATGTAGTGTGGTCGTGGGCGGGCAGTGGGAGCAGTGATGGTGGCGGAAGCTTCGCCAGAAAAGGAATCTGGCATCTCAGCTTGCTGAGTATTCTTTGCTGATCGGAGCGTCGCCAGCCTTGATTTTTGACCTTTGGATTTACTAGTTTTGGATTTACCACCTCTGCCTGACATCGTTACAGTGAAAAATTGAGAAGACGAGCAGAACGGAAGATGCCGTTCTCTGGACCCTGAACGGAGCAGTGTAGATCGGCTGTCATGTCCAGGAGTTGAAACACCCTCTGTGCTCAGAGCTCCAGGGCCGCAGATGGTGACAATTGCGCAATGGGGGAGGTCTGAACTCTAAATCTTACCCTTCTGGGATCGGCACATTCAACCCGGGTATCCGAAGTGTAGGGTAACTTGGCGGGGGGCCAAATGGTTGCATGGCAATAAGCCATGGAGTGATTTCTGCATAAGTTTCACCATATTCCGCACAGTTGTTATCGAGAAAACTATGCACAATGGATTTGCGTTACCAAAAAGAATGATTGAGTGATAGAAAGGTAAAAACGCAACATTTCAACTAAAGAAAAAAAAGGTCCCGAGGGACATATTCCAACTTCTCTCAGCCTAATTTTCAGCACATTCCGTCCAGCCGTTGTCGAGAAAATCATGCACAAAGGGGTAAAACCTAAAATCACGAGAAATGAGAATTATCGTTATCGCTAAAAAAGGTCCGGGCGTAATAAATGTACGAACGTTTTGCAGCAAACCGCAAGTGACTAGCTCATGCGGTTGCCGAGATATGGCGGACTCTTTGTCGGGGCCTGTTCTCAGGCAGCGAGCGTGACGGAACCAAAAAACTGGGTCACGTGACAACAAAGCCGAAAACGGCTGTATTTACGTACACAAATCCGTCAGCCAACCCCGACATGTTCCGGTAGTGCTGGCTCAATGATCCATCTGTCAAGCCCTTGAAAGACACTAACTTGTCCTTCCTTTAATTCCACAATCAATAGAATATCAGTGCCAATGATACTTGACTATGGCCGTCACATTCCAGACGAAAGGGGACCAAACAGTAACCATATTTCACGCATCCTAGAGCCTTTCCGAACTGTCTATTGCATGCAGTTTTTAGTAAACGTCAATGCCTCGGCTAATTGGGAAGGCTACTTTCTCAACTGAATTTTCGGGCCTCAGTTGAACCGAAGTTTTGCTGTTTAGGATTTAAGCTGGTGTCTCCGTCCGCGTTGGGTTCACTTTAGCCATATATGGACGGAAAGGACGCACCTAGCACCTATCGCCTATACGTCATTGACCACATCGTTTACGTCAATGACAGAAATACGAATAGACCCCTGGAATTAGCCTTGGACCACACATGGAACTACATTGAGGGAAAGAATACCACTGCGCCCCCCCCATCCAAAGACGAACATGAGGGCTGGGTGGTAGGTGATAGAAACACACGCAGAAGAATCTGGCTCGCTCTCAGCGAACCCGCTCAACAGGCAGTCTTCCATCACTTCAGAAGTCCCGCTGCCACTCTATTCAAAGCGCTGAAGAGTGCGTATGAATACTCTGGTGCCTCCGCGGAATTCTACGCAAGACAGAAATATGATAACACCAAAATCAATAACCATGAATCCACAGCAGACTATCTGACAGACCTCGTAAACCTCGCTCACCACGTCAACAGGGAGATCACTGGCAACCAGGGGCGCATTGAAGATAAGTAGAACGATCGGCATGCGTCTCATTCACTCCCTCTCTCCTTGCATGCGCACCTTGCAAACGATCCTCGTCAGAACCGCCCCGACAATCTTGACGAACTTCGAAGAGCGAGGACGGTCGATCGAAGAGGAGGAGAGACCCCAACAATCCAACTTGGATCACTCGCGAAAGCTGCTGGAGATGCGGGAAGACTCCCTGTTAGCACACTTCCGGGATCTGCACGTCAGAAGGAAGAAATAGTAACGTTCAGGAGTGCTTTATCTACCCACAGCCTTAAGGATTCCCATATCGGTTTTCACAACCATCGCCCCTTTATGGCCCTCTCTCTACTTCTGCAGTGACCCCACCATACTGGGGAGTGTTCTGGACACACAATTCCGTTGAACGAGGATTTACTCAACGCGCGAACGGTCAAAATTACCAAAGAAAGTTAATAGGTGGGGTGCGCAGGAGGCCAAATTACGAAGCCTAATCATTGTGAGATGCGCAGCACGGTAGTTCTGGTAACGGTATCATCAAGCTCACCGACATAGACCATGAGCACACTATTTCCCGATTCCAGCTTGATCCGCCCTGCCTAGATTTGTCCGTGGTAGCTGCTGTGCCGATTAAGATTTCCTTGCATGGAGCCGAGCATCCTCCCGACATTGGTTGATGCACTCATGGAATCGCTGTCCTACACCCACCTATGGCCCAGTGATAAGCGTTGTTGAGACTGGCAGATATCTTGCCACTTTGAGGACTGGGGATGCTGCAAGCACGAGGAGCCACATTCCGAACAGATTGACTTCGTTCGGCATGAAAATCTGCACTTGGAATTCCAAGCGGAACCAGCAGGCCTTTCGTCGTTGTCATCCCATTTATTTGGCCCTCTTTAAGGCTAAATGCATTTCGCCTTGCCGACGTGCAGGGGGACAAGAACGAAGGCAGCAAACTGGCTTCGCTGTCGGAGCTATCATCGGTTGAGAAGAAATGCGTGTCAGCAAATGACCGAGTCGGACCCGTCGTCTATCATGATTCTGTGTGAGTGTTCGTTTGTGAAGGGAGACTACTCGGCTGTGGAGTACTTGCAAAGAACCTGGCCGAGTCAGCCCTTGACAAAGGTGGAACGTAGCAGAGCATGCCAATGTTAAACGGGGTTGTTTGCAACGTGTAAAGTAACGGGCGCAGGAAGTCAAAGTTGATGCGGGGAACGAGATGAGGATACATCGGGCCAGTTGCCTCGGTTCAGAACCCTGACGTGAACGACAGCTAACGATGGGCATGCATTGGTTTTTGACCCTTCGGAAAGGTTTCGGAGCAGAGAACGCACGGCCCCCGGTTTCGATTTCAATGCATGATTTGGAGCTTCAGTGGACGTCATGAGCGCTGAATAACCAAGGGAAGCGGTGCAGTGACAGCCCTTCCATGTCCCTTCATCATCCGTGACGGAATGGTAGCGGAAGTGAACTACTGAGTAAAAGGAAAGAATAGACTCGTTAAACTCATCCACTAATGAATTCAGGGGGCCAGAAAAACTATGGAATTAGATGGGACCGGTTCGGTGCACGACGAAGCTGAGATCGGAAGGCTTCAGGGTGGTTGGGCGTATGATTGGACCAGGGCTGAAGACTGAATTCGGCCAGTGATGCTCCGAACGACATCAGCCATCGGCAGTCTAGAACCGAACGGGGTAGGAAGGAAGCAGCCTCAGCCCATCGCGAAGATGAGATACGCACGAGGGAAGCGAACGTCCATCGACTGAAGGGAATAGACGAATAGACGAATGAATTAGGCCAACTCCACTATGCTGCAGCTCAGGTAAGACGTACAAGCTGATCTCGTTGGTCCGTCCAAAGCAATAAGGCAACCAAACGCTGCAAAGCTCAAATCTGGTCATGACCGAACCATATCTACTCATGCGCTGGGTGCTGAGAGCATGACGACGCCAGAGGGAGTTGTTATAACAAGGGGATCCCCTACAGGGCAATTCACTACGCAGCGGCGACGCATCGCGATCGACCAGAGGCAGGGTCCATGCGCATTTATACATGAAATGTACCTAACGGGTGTGTGAGCAGACCAGCACCAAAAGCAGCACAGCGATGACCCGGACCAAACGTCAGAGCCTCTGAATTCCCAACGAGCCAGTAAACACACGGAGGAGGTGAAAGGGGAAGGTGGTAGGTAACGCTTTTGAAGGCACATGGCAGCGATGCATGAGTGAGGAAAACAAGTCGCCAAAGAAACGAAGGCAAGCAGCCGATGGTTACCCACCATGGGAAGGGGTGAGTAATAGGGACACCTGTCCAGGCCGCTCACCAGCTACTCACCCGTGACAGACTAGGGCCGAGGCAAATAAGCCAAAGGCCTGAGCACGGGCCCAGGGAGAAGGCAAGAAAGGGGAGGCCAACCCAACTCCTTCCTCCCTACCCCCTCCAGAAAGCGCCCCCTAAGCCCTGATGCCACCAGCGAGGGTCGTTCAGCCACGCAGCTTTCTGAACCTAGGGAACGCTAGGAGCTGGAAAAGGGATGAACCAAGGATGAAAGGAGCAGGAGGCGAAGAAAGAACCTTCGACCCAAACACTAGTCAACAGATTGGCTGCATACTAATATGCAGCCACTGCTATTCGCCGTCATACTGTACTTGATTGCACGATCTGTTTGGCAACAACCACATGATATAACGTAAAACGATGTTGCGTGACTTGTGTTCTCGGCGTTTGCGGAAGCATAGTTGCTATATAACGTAAACCTGCACCGATAGGTCATAAAAATCGGACTGGCGCTCCAGGTGCTCCCGGCTCTGGAGCCCCCGGACCAGAGGACTTTAGTCCAGTTGCTTGTGCGATTTTCGTGATGCCTCACTCGAGGGGTAGCATGGCAGCGGTCGTGCGCTGTCAACCCATAGGCACTAGTTATCTCTGCATTATTCCCGACTTCTGACTTGACGGACCGTAACTATGATTGAGTCAGGTTGATCCAGTCCGTCAATGAACCCAGTTTTTCTTGGTCATTTCGATGCGTTTCGTCTGCTGAGCCAATATCCCTAATGCATGGGACGACGCCGCAGGAAGTACTCCATCATTTTGGCAATTTAAAATGCTATCAGGTGCTCACGGCCTAGCACAACGTGCAATTGTGGGTCCTGTCTCTTGCCCTCCTATCATCGTATCTCACAAATATTATGTTCTCCCAATAGGCATGCGACATAGCCGAAGGGGCCGATATCATCATGGTCAAGGCAGCGTTACCTTGATGTCCTCTCCCAAACTCGTGATCGGCTCACCCCTTACCATCCCCTCGCGGCATACCAGGTCTCCGGAGAGTATGCTATTATTGTGGCGGGTGCGCGTGCTGGGATGTATGGTTTAAAAACGAGGGCGTTCGAAAGCGTGACTCGTATAGTTCGGGAGGCTGGTCGGTATAATCCTTAAGCCATTCGCGCTAGCATTTTGACTGTGTTTCTGATAAACCAGCTAGGCTCCTAATTACACGAAAACACGGTTGTCAATGTTAACGTCCAGTTATTGGCCTCTGTTGTTGAGGGTGTGGCGTAGCGTTACCGTTTATAGCAATTATCATATTTGTGCGCTGCTCGGCGAGCGCTTCGCTTACAGAGCGGAAATTTTCTTGTTTAGGCCATTCCATAGTTCATATACAGCGAGACCGAGGTGAGATATCTTTCTTGTTAGTTGCCTCCAGCGCTTTCACGCTAGGTAGTCATTAACATTAAATTGTAGTTCACGTATACCGGACCTGAAATTCTAATAACTGGTAGCCCGAACGACGTCTCTAGCTTCGGAACGAGGATCCTCTAATTCGTTGGATACAATTCTTATTGGCAAGACGTGAGAGAAAATCCCTCGTTTACCTCTGCATGCCGGCACGGTTCATGACGTGTGTTCCGAATACGAGCGAAGTTATGATACCGAAGACCCATTGCACTGCCATCAGACTGGCATCCGAGTTGGCACCGAGGCGAAGAAAAATGGGCAGAAATCTTTCTTCCTGCTTTCCCTCATATATATCTCCCCTGCGAAACTGAGGTGAGAGCCGCTGCCCTCACAGAACGTTTATATTCGTAAGTTGTGTCAACACTTAGGGCGCAATTATCACAAATGGCGAAAATAAAATTACGTGTATCCGGAGGGGTAATTATGTAGATATAGGTTTTTGGGCACATGTAATGATATTAACTTGTGGTACTGGGACGGGCTGCAAGTGCAACGTGATGCTATGCATACGGGGGAAACTATTGCGAAGAATGCCATTAATGCGGTAGATATAGAGGCTTGTTATAGCTGATGGCAGTTGCCGAGTTTACCAAGAGTGACAAAATGGTTACATTTACTATATGTGTCAAAGAAGGGTGATGTGCTGTGGTTGTGTCTACTGTGCGTCGGTTCAATCATAGTTAAACCGACGTGATGGGCCTAATGTCATCCTGCAGAATGCCCGTGAACCTCGCCGTCGTTTCGAGATGTTCGAGATGCAAATTGACCAAATCAACCGGGACACCTGACTTGAATAGCCGATCGAGAGTGTCGTGCGCACTCTGGCGCGACGCTGAATAACGGCTCTGGCGGGTGCCGTGGAGGCCGGAAATGAGTGAGCCCCCACCATCCAGACGCGCTCGCTTCGTTGGGGGTCCCGCCGTCGCCAAATCGTCTTCTTTCTTCCGCTTCTGAAAGGCTGCGCATACCGCCTTTGCTAAGCCCGCAACATCGTGGCGTGGAAACACTTGCAAGAGGACTTCTATCTCATCCTCGAGGTCTGATTCAAGAGCCATTGCGCTCTCCTGGAAACCTTCTGGGTTGTGCTTCGTCACCGAGTTCGCGGGGGGGGGACCCTGTCACAGCGGCGGGGGTGAAAGAATCAACACCGGCATGGGCGTAAACGTTGATGAAATCGGAATGGCGCCTTACCTTTCTGCTCCGGATCGGATGTCTGGGCTTCACTCGTCATCACCGAGCTCGAGAGGGGGGCGGGCTCAGTGGCGGTGGGGGGAGGGGAGGTGAGCTGCTCTGCGGGACCCGAATGGGCGACCCTTTCTCCTGAATACACCGCAGCATGAGTCTTCACGGTCATGGGAGAGAGAGGAGACACGCTTACGTCCAGCAGTCCAGGGGACGATCCTGATGTGGTCGCGGGATCCTGGGTCTACCAAATCATTCGAACTTGACGCTCTAAGAAGCAGTTGTGCATGGTAGGGGATCCTAACAACGACGATAGCCTTTAAATTCGCGCGTGTCGAGATGTGATGATCGTGGCGATCGTCAACAACGGCTTCGATCGTTATGTCTCTGATGATTGGGTCAGCCTTGGGATGACGTACGGTTTCTTGCCTCCTACTTTGGGTTTTCTGACCCCAGGCGACGCATCAATGTCTCCTGCAAGGCATTTTCGGAGCCCATCCGAAATCCACGGAACGATACCGCGAGTCTGATGTTCTTATGAGCGGGCATGGTTCGGTTTGTGCAGACAGGTAGTGTACTGTGATGATCTGTGGTGAATTGGATCGTGGGGGAAGGCTCTGGTTCAGCCAGAGGTGTTCAGGGGATTATATGTAGTTCGAGATGCCATACGTCATCATCTTGGATTTCATTTTACTCAGTGCACGGAGGTGTAGTACGGAGGTGTAGTTGCCCAGTTGAATGCCTGAAAACAAGTATTTACATGCACAAATCTGCCGGCCAACCATGACTGTCCAGTCGAGATCGTTGTTCGTAGTCGCTATATCATCAGTTAGAGCGCAGAGCTGGCCACCACTCTCGTACCGCAGCGGCTCAATAGCCTCCATCACCTCGTCTGTCGAGCCCTTGAAAGACACCAGAGCACCGGCACTTGTCCTTCTCCGTCCGCGTCGGATTCACTTTAGCCATATATGGATGGAGACGTGGTGAAATGACGCACCTGTCAGTATACGTCATTGACCATTTCCCTTCGCGAGATTACGTCAATGACAAGAATAGGAATATCATCACATCCACGCCGATGTACAATTCTTGCGCGCTATGATAATTGCGAGGCATCCATTCTGCTAGTACAAGGTTTCAACTGTCCGCGGGGGTCAAAATCTCATGTCAGTAAGCATTTGATAATGTCTATATATCGATCTAGGGTCGTATTCCCGTTTCATACTAGTCATTCCGATTATTCATTCTTCCACCTAGCTACTATCCACCCATTCGGAAACCAATCCCCCAGTGCATTTCCATTCGGCCATTCCTCTCTACCGGGTAGGGCTGCACGGGCCTGCACGACAACACCAAATTTGAGTGGTGATAGTCACACAGCTGTCGAATAGCGAATGCCCCTCATTTTTCATAGCCAAAGGTATCAATTGCTCCCATGCTCCTCCAAAGGCGTATCGATTCCACAATTGAATATCAAACTCCGCGGCATCCGGATATCCGGGTCGTTCGAACACTCGCCGAGAGGGACGACCGGAAGATTTGCTCCTTCATTCAGCCTATATAGAAGACTGTCAGGCGTCCAATCACCTATCGTCCAACGGGCCTCGTCTCTATCCCAGAAGAATGCTGTTTAGCGCTACATTTAACAGCTGTTCCACGAGTAATCATATTTGACTTGAACCATTTGAACATCCCCAGCTTGACCAAAGTGCAAGAGAATCCTCTGTACGCCGTCTGAAGCCTGAATCTGAGTGACCTTCAGCCTTCCAAAGCCAGGAGAATCCGATAATTGTCTGGGCAGAGGAAGGAAGTCCAGGACCGAGTCATCGTTGCTCGCGGCTAGGCAGACTCATGCGAGGGCCATAAACAATGTTGAATTTTAGAAACGACTAAAGAATGCTGTTTTTTTTTGTTCTGCTTTCACAGGCTTGTGGGGATTGATTCGAGTCAACACGGGCGCTAAATACGTGGGTGAGCTCACTGGTCGTCCCAACCCTCCCCCAACTCATTGCCCTTGGACAACATCATTCGATTTTGGTAAACATCTTAATTCAACGATCGGCTCACCATCGCAGTTCATGGGTACACCCTGCTTGGTCATGAGTCGATGGGCTCGCGAAATAATCGACGGGTCTGCCACCATGAGATCGTCACACTCCTGGATGTCCTGCAGTCATCGGGTGGAACGGCGCTATGATGCATGGCTGATGGGTCTAATCCTAGTTTCTCGGTGGTAGGCAGGCCTGAAAGAGGAAGAGATTTCGAAAATAGCTCAACTTGAAGATCCAGATCGTTCAAAGTCAACAGCGGAAAGTTCGAGTCCAGATTCTTCATAAAACGCGTCAGCTCATACATAGATGTGCCTCGAGCCGCACTGGAATTCACTGAATCAGTGTTGTTGAAGTGTTTCAGTCCACGCCAACCAACCTTCCGCCGTGAAAACATGTCGTCAAGATTCAAAAGCATGCCGAAAACGATAACAGTATACGCTCTGCATGTGTCATCATGAGAAAGGACTATTTTCCCGAAGATCGATTCATGCAGCATGCCGTGAATTGAATTCGAATTGCCACAGGTCCTCTCGTTTGAATGAATCTCCAAGGCCTCCATGCCAGGCATGGCTTCATTTCCTCACAGCGTTGCTACACAAACCGTCCCAGGCAAACTTGTAGCGTGAAGTGCTCTGGTTTGCCACTCATGCCAACACGGCTCTTGTATCGTTGATGTGTGTTCCCAAATTGTACCTACTGTCCTCCCTTCAATTACGCGCAGCGTCCTAAGCGGGCCCAACCCAATCTCAGTACATGCTAACTACCCTGATCCATGTCTGTGTGCTGCATTCTTTGATGTTGGAGCAACTTTGACACGCGATGTGCGGCTGACATTGCTCCAAGTTCGGGAACAGCATACTCTCCAGCAAGCTTCCCAAGAACGAGGCAACCAGACAGGTGGGTGGTCCCCATGAGTTGCCGAAGCGCTGCTCAATGGCCATGTGTTGATAGATTTCATATTAAATTGTATGGACATCAGCTCAACCAGCCATGTCACCCATATTTTGGAGACCTGATTAGGTACCCAAAAGCGCTATATATATATATACCTAACAGGCCAAAAGCTTGTTGAATGTTCTATAACGTTCTCCAACGGAATGCTCGTAATGATTAGAATGTTCTAAAACCACGACTGAACGTTCTAAACAATCAGTGAACGTTGTGTGTATGTGCCTAATAGGCCAAAAGGTTGTTGAACGTTCTATAACATTCTCCAGTGGGGTATTCTGATCATCATTGAACGTTCATTGAACGTTCTAACTGTCATTTGCCGCAGGTGTCTGAATGGCGGCAACTTCCCTCGGCAAGATTCAATACAAAGGAGGCAAACGCCGAGATCAGGTGATGAATTATTCGCAACTGTCTAGTTCTTTCCGTCTCCCCATCCTCTCCCCATCCTCTACTGAACCCGCGCAGCGCCGCGACCACCGCCAAGCCTCCCTTCCCTCCTCAGTCCTAAGCATACGCTTTGCGTCCCTCGATTGGGGTGTGGCCTAGCTAACTCATCGTTGCAGTGAGGCGTGGGTTTGTTGTAGGGTTCCATGAGGTTTGCCGGTTTCTTCAGTTGGCATGAACCGCGCTAATTGTCTCTCCCCTGTAGATTGTTCCGCTGATTGTCTCTCAGCCTAGCTAGTTCAGTATTCACAGAGTTTATCAGATGATGGCCTAACGGGGTGGGTTCGTTATTCCAATTGGAGCTGCAACCCCGTTCTTCGCAACAAATCTGATGACTTTTTTTTTGCAGGCTTTGACCTGAACTCGCTGTGCTGGTAAGTTTGTCCCCTGATGATTGTCCTCTTTACGTCCCATGGCCCACTTTCCCCTCGTAAATTCATTTTACTTTCCATGGCGTCAATGCAATGGTATGAGGCTCGGTTTGTTTGTATTGTCCGAAGCAATTAATATTTCGTACCTCCCTTGTATATTAGATTTATATCCCCCTCCGCGACTATTCCGTACCCCCACCAGCTGACTCCTGTGGAATCTGAAACTCTTGTCCTCGCTTTGAGGTCCCCGAGCTTGTACTGGGCACGTTCACTGATTTTTTCCGTGTTTTGTCTTGCATGTCACGCTGCAGCCACAATGTTGCCTGCCCATTTGCTCTTCCATTCGCCTGCCAGCTTGCCCCGCTTGCCATGTTGCTGACATCAACGTGGATGACATGGGTCTCAGATCCAAATGACCCGGTGTTTATTCCTATTTACATTATGTTTCCAGTGGGTGCTTTCATTGATTGTTCTTCAACTTGTGTCTAGTAAGCAAATTTTTTCTCCACCCGGTTTCGTGATTGCATTATTTTTCTATTATGTTTGCTTCCATCACTGCTACTAACATAGTTTGCTATGTATTCCAGTTTATTTCACGGGACTAATCGGAGTCGGGCACGTGCGACTTGGAGCTGTTCACACTGCCGCAGCGCTTGCGCTCGGTGTCACTGGTATGTTTCCCCAGTGCAGCCGGGCTTCTAACTCACGCTTGCTTGTCAGTTACCCCTCGTTATCGCGTGGTTATTACTCTCCCTTCCATGTGTTGCTGTTTTCTGTAAGTGTATTTTTTTAACCCTTTATTTACTTGATTTGTGAATTGTTCGCCCTCAGCTCCTGTTCCTCCCCGCTCAGGCTGCATTTCCTCTTTTGTCTACCCTCCACCTCCCCCCACTCCGCCTTTGATTACGTTGTATCTTAACTGTACTCTCTTTGTAACCGGCCCGCCCTCAGCCGTTGTTTTCCTGTTCCGCAATCAACATTCTGTGCTGGCCCGATGCTAGGCCGAGTCCGCTGTCATGATGCCTATTCTCTTTCTCCCTCTCTATGTCACGTGATTAGAGGATACAAACAGTTATGACCTTAGCTGTATTGTAGCGGAGTTGTCCGAGTTTATTGTTATATTGTTATATCTACTCATAGAGTTTCCGGAATTAATGTTAATATTGTTATTATTACATTGTTATATTCGAGATCGGCACCAAATCCGCTCAAAGAGTTCCCGCGCTATTTGATGTCACATGCATGTGAGAGTTGGAGCTGAATTCATGAGACAATTGCCCGGCCAACTGAGGGAAATGGCCACACTGTGGGAATCGCCATGGGCCAGCAATTACAACTTACATTGCGAAACCCTCTACATTCTCTGGGTCAAGGCGAGCATCTTCACCCATATCTAATGCTGCCATAGCCAGAGCCAGAGCCCCATTTTCCTCCATCTCATCAGGCTCTATTTCATCATTATCATCATCATCTTGACTTGCCTCATCCGCGCTGTCCACACCATCATCTTGACCTGCCCCGGGGTACTGAGTATTGGTGGATTGAACGTTGGTGTAAAGGGAACAGAAATCCTCCTTTGACATTGGAGGGGTGGTGTCCGGCCACGGAAGTGCATCGTGAGGACAAGGGACATCTTCGGTGTGATTCTGCCATGAAATGGAGAGATTGTGAAGTTCATGGAGCCATTTGAGAGCAAGAAAGGCCACGTCAACGCTGTTCCTTCCTTGACATGACCGAAAAAGTGACTCATATGCAGCATGCTCATGAGCCAACCAGTGTCGGAGGTTAGCATGCTCTGCAGTGAGTCTGCGTATCTCAGACCGGCAATTATTTGCTTCCTGCATATAGCGAATGCTCTCACGAACACTAGAATCCATCACCCATTTGGGGAGCTCTCCCTCTCCGGGCTCTTGGTCAAAGAACTCTTGCCAAAGATCTTGATCTACATCTAACTTGAGGATGGTGTCACGGCTGAGGGAAGGTGGGAGATACTTATTTTGGTGGGCTGGAGAAGTAGTCCGAAGCCTCCTTAGAAGCTCTAGCTTCTCGTTGTATTTTCGCAGTGTAATGTCAATGGCAGATGATCGGCCCTTCACTGCTTTCTCCACATGGGCCTTGACATTTTGATCAATGGTGCGAGCTTTTGAGCGATCAAGTATGTTGAGTTCGAACCGTCTTGAACGCAATTTCCGAACAAGCTGCTCCCTAAGGATTCGAAAATTGATGAGTTCATTTGTCCACTCATCCTTCTTCAGCCGCTCCAGCTCTTCGAAGGCAGCATCGCCCTGTGCTCCAAGCATACGCATGTTTGTGGCCAACGACTCCTTCAGCCTTACAATCTCTTCTGCCACTTTCTCCATGAATTCTTGCGACTCAAACTGACGAACTGGATCATCTACTGGCCTGGTCCGAACAAGCTCCTCATAGAGTGTCTCTTGGGTCTTTAACTCGGTCCTCAGTGAAGTAATTCGATCCACTAGCTTCTGGGCCGCTGTCTTCGATTGACGCTCTAAAGGTTTGCTGTAATAACGTCGCTGGTCCTCAAACTGTGCCAACAGATCAGGAACCGGATCATCGTTGTTCTTCCCCGAGTGACCGGTAGCTGCATTAAGTCGCCCCCTGGCCCTCTTTAGGTGGCCTCGAAGCCATTTTCCAGAGTCAGGGGACTTCATGGACTCAATGTGCTCAACCTGGACATCAATTAGAAAGAGGCGACGATAATGGCCAGTAACTCGAAGGCCCGGTATCAACTGTCGCAGCTGGCTCCACACCCTCTCACAACCTTCACCATCCGTGAGGCCCCAAAGCTCCGATTTACGTGGATGGTACCAAAGCTGACAGGCATACTGGTGACCATATGCATGGAAAATGGAGACACCCCACGCGATTCGAGATCTCCACTCCGGAGCAATGTTGTATTTCTTCAGGGTACGATCTCCCTGACATCCTATGTCATACAATATTCCAACCCGCCATGAGCCCGGGACGTGCTCAAAGAATTTTGCGACGAGCGCGAAAAGGTAGTGCTGTTTCTCACCGGCCGTCTGGACGTTAACGAGGAATAGGGGTATATCGTGGCGACACAGGATCGCCATCACTCCAGTGTCCGCAAAATAGTCTGTCGATGCCTTAATGCGTTCCCCATCGGCAGCGATGAAAGACTCAGAACAAGCATCATATGTAGAGTTCGGGACTGGCAAGCCAAACTCCCTCCTATCATCTGCACCAGCTGGAGCACGCTCAATGTCCACCTCCTCCCCTTCACGGTTTCTGCGCTTCCTGGAAGACTTTTTAGTGGGGCGGATGGTCTCGACGTGTTCTTTCCAAAACTGAACGAAGTCCTCAGACAAAAATACAGTTCTCGGTGACGTGAAAGCAGGATCCTTCCCCCCGACTTTCTCCTCCATTCCACGCCGACGATCCTTGTCTTTAATCCGCTTTAGTTGGAAATTCGCATCGCAACATATGATGGCCTGTACATCCTCCCCTTTCGTATAGGACCCACCAAAACAGAGGGGACATCGAGAACGGAGGAAAGAACTAGGCTGATCATCAGCATTAGGGTTTGGAGTATGATGGGCATTCTCATACACGCGACGATTGATCGGAGTCGTGACGTCAAAATCAGTCTCAATCTCGGTACCCTCGGAATGCTGCGAGACGGAGGTAGATGGCCCCTGCGGCATCACAGATGAAGGTTGAGATGGAAGTGCGTAGCTTCTTGCTAAACGAACAAGCTCCGCTTGGACTAACGAAACGAGACTCTGGTAATATTTCAGGGCATTCGCGAAACGTCTACGAAGAGAGTCCTTGGCATCAAAATGAAACCCGCGATTTTGAAGTATGGTTTGCATGGTAGCTGCCCATGCCCGGTTATTTGGGGCGGTAAACTTGAAGAAAAGTGAGACCCATTCCAACATATCGATGCTTACGGCCAGTGAAGGGCGATATGGAGCACATGGGAACATCCCAAGCTCAACAAGCTGGACGGGAGCAGGGCGGGTACTGCAAACAATAAGCAAGACCTCCTCTTTGCGGTCAAACCGCAAACAAACAACTTTGAGTGCCAGGTGGCTGCCCCCACAATCGCAAGGATCCGCTCTAGGTGTGACCCCCGATCCGGAATAACGCAAACGCTCCCACTGAATGTACACAGCTATGAGCTGCGGAAGGA